GTTTTTTTTAATACATATATTATATTTTATAGTAACAATACATTTAAACTATACATTTTCATATATATTTATATGTAAATATATATATTTAATGTCTAAAATCTATGCTTTATAAAATAGTGATAAATTTGTAAATATTATGATTGTCATTATATTCAATATATGATATTTAGTTAAGATATTCTCTATTTATTTTTATTACATAGGATTACAATTTATTTTATATCTTTTTTTTAAAAAAAAAATTATTTTTATTATTTCCTGATATATTTTAAATAACAGTTAATGATTTGAACTCAATGTTTATACAAATGATGGTTAAAAATAAAGTTTGATTTTTTTTATAGACAAAATAATGTTATAATATATTAACATAATTATAGAGTAGATCTTATGAGAAAGTATTAGTTTAACGTTTTTTAAAACAAAATAATAGCAACAATTTATTTAATTTAAGCTATCATTTTTTTAGTTTTAACATTTGCATAAATTATAATTTTCACAGTATTTTTATTCAATTACTTTTACCATTAATAATAGCAGAAAACAACAAAAATTATTTTTGTTGATAAATAATAAATCTCAGAAATAAAAAGCTTAATAAAAGCTTACTATAAAACTATATAATCTGTTTAAAGTGTTTGTCATAATTTTTATTTTTAATTTTTTTTATATATAATATATACTGTATATAAATATATATATATATTGATATAAATTATATACTGTTTATGATATATTATGTGATTCATTGATATCTATTACTTATACATTATATATATATATATACTATATATACTATATATTTATTAATATAAATTATATATATATATAATATTAGACAATATTTTTTCTATTTATGTTGTTAAGAGTTTAATAAAGATTTTAAGAACTTTATCATAAAAAAGCATTAAAATAATAATAAAATTTTAGTACAATTTTGTTTTGTTTTTTTATATTGATAATCATATATTATAGCCATTTATTTTCATACGTATCAATTATTATTTATTTATTTTTGAGCATGATACAATTATTATAGAGTATAAAATAGCTAAAAAAATGGACATATATTTTGGAAAATTTTAAAAAATAATAATATTTATATAAATTGTTACTTTAAACTGTGTGTGTGTGTGTGTGTAATGTTTAACATAAAAATGGATATTATAATATTTTATATATATTTTTATATTATATTTTAAATTGACCATAAAATATAAATATTAAGAATAACTTATACTTGTATAACACTATATAAATGATATCATATTGTATACACAAAATTATAAAATAATTTTATGGAAAATGTTTTGTCTGTATAAAATTTTTTATAGAAATTTCCAAATATATTTTTCTATAAAAATTTTTATTGAAAAAAAATTCAAGATGAAAACTTTAAATAGCATATTATAGATAATAATAATAATTTATTATCATTATTCATTTTTCCAAAATTATAATCTAAGATAACAAATGAAAAAAAAACAAAATTTTCAAAGTTTAATAAATTTTCATTAATAAATTTTCTATAAACTTACTATTTATTTATTAGAAATTTCCCATTTGGCCATCTTTTAGTAAAATTACTCCTATAATGTGTTATATGTTTGTGTGTTTATGTTTAACAAATTACTTGATTTATATGATTCGTTATCTTTAAATAAAATACATATAAAACTAACTTATATATTATAATTTTTTAACACAATTATTTTAATCATAATAAATCAAATAAAAACACGTTGCCCTATTCACAAAAAATTGGAAAATTTTTTTAATTAAAAGTTGAGAGTATATAATATTTAATTATAAATATAAATAATTTAAAAAAATTAATTATACTATTAGAAATTTATGTTTTGAATGTAATTTAATTAAATATAATTATAATAAATGTATGGAAAAATTCTAAAAATAGTTACCTGTTTTGTCAACAATTTTGATTAAATTATTCATAAATATTTTTATCATTACGTTTTATAAATGCATTTATGTTATAATATTAATAATTAATGTGCAGTAATATACTGTATTTGCAATTTTTGTTATTTTATTTAAATTATAATTTTTTCTAAAAGTGGGAGGGCTTTTATTTTACTTAATATTTTATATATTTATCAAACGTATGATATTTTAAAATCTATGTTAAAATATTGATAATGTTAAATTTTCCATAAATATATAGCAAACAATTTAAAATTTTGCATCTATTTATATATGATAATTTTAAATATAAAGTTATTATTTATATATATATATACTGTATATAAGCTTAAAAAATTATGTAGGCATAAAAAATAAATAAATAAATTTAAAACGTTTATTGAATAATTTTTAAAAATATTAGTTTACATTTAAATGTATGTTATGTAAGAGTTTTGTTATATGTATATAATATACTCTAAATAATAGTGAATACATAAAAAATTTAAAAATTAAATGTTGCTTGAATAATTGATAACATAAAATTATATATTTATTTATATAAATAAACTAACAGAGAGAGAGAGAGAGAGAGAGAGATGTTATGTGCAACTAATAAATAATTGTTATTTGAAAAAATAGATAAAACACTCCAACAAAAACCAATAACATCCACAACAACAACAAAACTACCGGTAAATATACAGTGAATCACAATTTACGATCGGTTGTTGAGTGTATGTATGGATGTGTGTGTGTGTGTGTCAGTGTGTTTCAGTGTGTTTTTGGCAAAATAAAACAAACAAATATTTTGAACCAACTTTGCAGCAAATAATAAGGCACTTAACGTGCAGACACTGTCCACACATTTGTTATGCCCTTTCCCTATATCCCAGTGATATATTCAGAATAAAACTCTCTTTCTCTCTCTCTCTCTCTCTCTCTATTCACAGAATATTCTGTAAGTTTTTTCCTTTCTATCTTTCTTTCTCTCTCTCTCTCTCTCACTCACTCACTCACTCACTCACTCAGTAATACCTCTTTACAATACAAATCGTGTGAACCGCTTATATATGTACTGTATATACAATATGTTATGAATGTATAGTATGTACAGTATGTATGTAATGTATTGTACGCAACATTGAATTTGCTCTTACTTTTCATTGGTCTCTCATGTGCTTTGCGTTTACTATCAAATTGACGTTTACGTTATAAACACACAAATGTGAGGAATGTATACTATAAAGACTTATGTAATATTTCTCATACCATATCGTATACTCAAAACCAATGTGTGTGAGTGTCTATGTATTTGTATGTATGTGTTCACTGTATGTGACACAATCACTCATATGTTGTGATTATATGGACAATCAACTTATGTGGTAATCACTTGTCAAAAATATGCGCTAACTATAAATTTAATCCATGAGCTTCTCATACTATAAAACATATATATATATATATACTCTACTCTACTAATACTATTGCTGCTAATATAGTAGATTAAGCTCCGATATATATATACCGGTATATATTTTTTCCTCTCTCTCTCTCTCTCTCTCTCTCTCTCAATACATGTATGTCCACCAACTTTGAATGTTTGCTCAAATAGACATTTATCTAACTTTTATATATATATATGATATATAAACGGTATAAAAATGTTATTTACGATATGACATCACTTGACTGACTCTTACACTCTTTGTCTCCCAATCTATGTGTGTGTGTATTACTGTGTTTGGTGAGCAACGGTGATAACTATTGAAGAGTGAAAAATATTGAGACAAAAAAAATAAGATAAATAAATACAACAAACAACAGAAAAACATTGACATCGGGCTTAATCAATGATAACAACGATTTATCTCCGTTTTTAATGTGTTATCTACTGATTGTGTGATTTTATATATATATATGTATAGTAGTAGTGTATATGTATTAACTGATTGACTCTAAGAGCTTATTGTTTTGTTTTATTTTTGGATCAATTTGTTTTCATTAACATATATATATCTCTCTCTCTCTCTCTAACTTTCACTGTTCATTCATTTCAATTGATTGATATTTGGATATATATATATATAATATTTTTTTATCTGTGTGTTTAAAATATAATATTTTTTATTGTAAATTATATTTTTTTCCAATCGATTGAATTAAATTTTATTCAATAACTTATATTTAGTTTTTTTATTTGTCAAAAAATTGTTATTCAAAACAACTGAATAATAAATATTTTTAAAAAATTCCCGACTATTGATGAAATTACAGTATAAACTATATAAAAATTATTGATATAAATATTGTAATTTTAATATAAAATAAATTTATTTATTTTTTTTGACTAAATTATATCAAAATTTTGAAAATTGATCTTTTTAAAATTACATTTATACGTGACTAATATTATTGCCAACAAATATTCACTACAATAATAATAATGGATTTTTATGTGGTTTTGTGGGAATATTTAGTTTCTAGTATTATAATAATTTTCTAGTAATACTAATAATAATAAAATTTAGAAAGAAAACACTAATGTTAGTTTAAATAAATAATTGTTTTTATTTATTTAAAATATATATTTATAGTTATAATTTTTTATAAAATATTTTTGCTAATTATTATTACTAACTAATTAATAATAAATAATAATAATAATTTTTTTAAATATTAAAATTTAAATATTGTTTATAACCATGCAATCAATTTTGTTGTTATTGTTGTTGTTGATGATGATTAATTTGTTTAAAATAATTTCATCAAAAATGTTTAATGATATGTTTAATGATGCAACTATTACGATTAATTTTTTTAACAATAATAATGACAATAATATCGATAATATAAAATACATCAACAACAACAACAATGATGATAATAATGATAATATTAATAATATCGATACTACCATTAATGATGATGATGATGATGATAATTTTAATTATGTGGATAGTGTTAGACAACATGATTTTGGCGATGATTTTATCACTGGATATAATAATAATAATAATATATCATTAGATGGATTAAGTAAAACAATTTTTAACATCAGTTTACAACAAATGGACGATTATAATGACTTTGATATTCAAACAAATACAGCTTTTGAAGTATGTTTGTAATTATGTTTTTTTCTCATTCAATGTATATATATATATAAAGTATAGTAATATGCATATAGAATATTCTGTAATGTCAATGAATTATAAACTCTGTTTTTATTTTTTATATTATTATTATTATTATATCAATTAGGTTGCTATGTGTATATTTTATGCAATTATATGGTTGGCCGCAATCATTGGCAATGGATTTATCATTTATATTGTACTTAAAGAGAAACGCATGCAAACTGTGACTAACTTTTTCATCTTAAACCTGGCCGTCGGTGACCTACTGATGGCCGTACTGTGTATTCCCTTTACATTTGTGGCCGATTTATTGCTTCATTACTGGCCATTCGGCTCATTCATGTGTGTTATCGTTGGCTATTCACAAGTTGTCAGCGTTTTCATCAGTGCCTACACTCTCATTGCAATTAGTATTGATAGGTTTGTTTCACAACTATTTATACATTATATATTGTATAATAGTATAAAACTATTGAATTTATTAATCAATAGATTATGCTACTGTATATATATACAGTATAAAGCTTACTGTATAATATACAATATATTTATATACAGTATATATATATATTAATAAATATATATATAATTTTATAGTCATGTCATATAGTTATAATATGAAACAATTTTAGTTATTTTTAATTAAATAATTTTGACATCTGTGTTGTGACAATGATAATCAAATATAGGAAATAAAAGTTAATTAATTTATTATTAGATATTTTGACAAAAAAAAATAAAGTTTTATATTAAAACAGTTTAACTAATATATTGATATAATCTTACAATAGTTTATATGTTATATAAATATGTTGTTTGATTGACAGATATCGCGCTATATTACATCCATTGCGGTCAAGGATTACCAAAATGAATACAAAACTAGTATTAATAATAATATGGTTTATATCGTTGGCCACACCGTTACCGACAGCCATACTGACCAAATTGCAACACTTACAACAAAATTCAACACATTTGACGTGTATGGAGGACTGGGATGACAATAATAAACGCTATTACTATTCGATGGCATTGATGTTATTGCAGTACATTTTTCCGCTAACTGTCCTCATCTATACATATATGAGAATAGCTGTCGTAGTGTTCGCCAAACAGACTCCCGGAGAGGCCGAAGATCAAAGAGATCAGAGGATTAGGGCTTCCAAGAGAAAGGTATAGAAAATTTTGTTTTTTATAATAATTATTATTATTTCAAAATTATAACAAAATATGAGTGTTTATAAAACAAATATAAGCAATAAACTAATAATAATAATAATCAAATAATATCAAACATACAGCACATATTTAATATTATAAATTTATATATAATTCATTAATAATAGCATTTAATCAGTTGAGTAGAATTTTGATTGATATGTGTAGTGAGTTCGAGCCCTGGGTTGTCTCGATTAAGACCTTGATTTTTCTTATTAAATCATTTTTTATATATATATATATTTATGCTTATAGTCTAAAATAATAATATATAAAAACACACGTTTGTATTAGACTATTATCAGCAGTTAGATTAATATTAATACAATACGTGTTCAAATATATACTACTGTATTATATATATATATATATATATATATTTGTGATCCTATTTATTTGTTTGACGACATTGACATTATATGGCTTTTTTATGTTGTTGTATTAAATAATAAAAATTTTCAATACACAGTAAATAACCGTATAAATAGTTATTTCATTTTTTTACACAAACACAAAATTTATATAATATTATATAGAATCCATAACTTTGTGTTTAAAAAAATCCATATATTTTATTGTATTACTATTGATTGAATTGCTAATTATCTTTCATTTATTAAGTCAGTAATTTTTTTGTTATATATATATTAATAAAAAAAAATATATAATTAATATTAATATATATAAAATTATATATTTATATATATTTTTAAAAATTAGATGATAAAAATGATGATGTTATGTGTACTATCGTATGCACTTTGTTGGCTACCATTGAACACTATAACATTGATTGGCGACCAAATGCCCGACATATGGACGCACAGGTATATCATACTTATATGGATATGCAGTCATTGGCTGGCAATGAGCCACTCGTCATACAATCCTATTATCATATTCACAATGAATGCCAAGTTTCGGCTGTCATTAATACAATTGTTTGCTAAAAGACGACGATCTCAACAATCGATACGTACGGCAACTCTTTAGCTAATTATAATATCATATAATATATAATAATAAAATAATTATATATCAATATATTATAATATAGTATAATACAGTATACATACACACTATATATATATATATATATATATATATATATATATATATATATATAGTATATACGTTATATTATATTTCATAATCAATGTACACATATATACACACATACAGACAAAAATAACATTAAAACTTTAGTACAGCAGTGTTTTTTTGGTTATCTATTAAATTGTGTGTTAAGTTTTTTTATAGACGTGTTATACCCGGGGTATTAAACCTAAAAAAGCAATCCAATTAGGTAACAAAATATATATAAAAAAAATTAGGAGTTATTATTAACCGTTATAACAAGCATTGACCGTTAAATACAATATATCAGTTTATTTAAGTAGAAAACTATACTGTATATTATCTTTTTATTTAAAAAAATAAATAAATAATCTATTTATATCTCAAAATACAAATCAGACGCTCATTTATATAAGCAAAATATGTTAATTGAAATTAAAAAACAATATGACCTGTATTACTTTACGATATAACTAAATTTAATACAGTATATAAATAAAATTAGGTAGATATTTGGTAGATTTTATTATTTAAAATATTATTATTATTATTATTACCATGATTATGTTAAAATAAAAGTTCGTGTATAATAATTACCATACATTTTCATCAATGTCATCGGATAATATTGTACTGTACTGTATATACAGGTAATATTATATTGTATTATATATATAAATATATATAATTGTATGCATCGTTAGCATCGGTATTATATACAGTATTTAATAAATAAAAAGATAAGATATTATAGTTTATTTGTTTGTTTCCTTGATCTTAATTAATTTTTATTTCGTGTCTAAAGTATCCGTATTATTATTATTATTATTATATAAAATACTGTTTATAGATAAATCCAAATGTCATTAATGTTAATCTAGATTACTTAGAAAAACTTAGTTTTTTTATAACAAAAATTATTTTATTATTAATTTTGACATTCAAATTACTCAAACACAATGGGATTAACAAATTTCAAGGATAATTCCCTGAGCTTATGGTATAACCCCAAAAAAAAATCAAGTACAGGTCGACATTAAAAATCTAATTTAAATTTAACAATTAATCACTTATTTTTATTTATTTTTTTTTTAATTTACTTATTCCTATAGAGACCATATTTTTTCTGTTATCTTAATTATCTTTAATGCTATCGATATTTAAAGTACAAATTTTTCATATGAAACTCATCATAAAATCATTAAATAGTTATTATCATATAAATAAATAAATATAAATAATAAAATTATTATTTTGACATTTGATGTATATTCACGATTTTTTTAATACATATAAATCCATTATTTTAAAGGTTAAAATTTCAATATTATATATTTTATTTATATCTATTAATATAAAATATTTTTAGAAATATCAAATACCTGTACTCATATGTAAATGATCAGTGTATTAATTATACTGTATTATAATAATATAAATATATTTCATAAATCATAAAAAAAGTTTTTTTTATAATAAAAATTATTAAACAAAATATTTATTATTCTATATTTAATTACTGTATAATGATTTTGTTATGTAATCGTGTAATTTATTATTTATAGCTAAAATTTATAATAAAATAATATTAATTATTTTATATTTAACAAAAAAGAAAACAAAATATCATTATATTATTAACAAATTATTTATATTAACATTCCTCTTTAAAAATATATTATATATAATTTTATATTATGTATATATAGTATATATTATATACCTATATTTAATTTAGACAACAATTAATTGTATATTTAAATAATTTTATCACCAATTTTTTGATAAAAAACAACATTTTTGTTACAAAAACTTTTGTTGATTATAATGATAACAAATGTTAATAAGTTGTAATTTACTTATTTTAAACAAATCAATAAATTTTATTTTAGTTTCTAAAAATAAATAAATAAAATAATTAAAAATATTTTAAACTACTTATTTTTAATTTATATTTATTTATTTATTATGATATTTTTAATTCAATTGTAATTAAATTAAATTTGTGTGCTAATTTGTCATTTTAATTTATTTTATAATTTATATAAAAATAGTAAAAACTGATTATTTTTAATATATAAAGTTAAAGTTATATATTATAAATTATATACAAGTTATTAATTATCATTAGATGCAAACAACAACAAAATACAATAATATAGTGAAAATGGCTTTAAATCATTTGATGGTATGGGTATCCCCGAGTCAATTGGCAATTGGTTTGGGCATCTTAGTTGACTACCCCCGCAAGTTATAATTAATAGGTTTGTTAGCTATAATAACACAACAACAACAATGTTAACAGTATACTGACATTTTCAACAAAATTTCTTTAAATTATTAAACTAATATTAATATATTTAAGTAGTAATATATAATATTCATATATATATATATATAATATATTAATAATATATGTATATTAATATCTAAGAATTCAGGTGTGTCCTCTCTATTATAAATTTAATGATAATATTATACTCTCTCTCTCTATATATATAATGATTGGTTAATACTAAATAATGTGTTTTTTATTACAATACTATCTAATATTGTTGTTAATACTATACATTAGTGGCTAAATCTCAGGTTATAAAATGCACAATGAATTATTAAATGCTGCATTTGATTGCCTAATTAATCACATTTTTATTATATATAAACTAAATAAATGCATTATAGACATGATATGATGAGTGTGTGTGTGTTTATTACATATAATTTTATTTGTATATTATATTGATTTTTTTAAAAAAATTAAAAATAATATAAATTTTACTAAATTTTCAAAAGTTAATTATAAATATAAACAAAATAGTCATTAATTAATGAGATGCCATTATATATATTGAATAACAAAATTATTTTAAAATGTATTATTGAAATGAATGTTAATTAATGTAGAGATCATTACCTAAGTGTTAAGTATAGAAATAGCAGTAATTTCATAGAAAAATAGCTAATAGACTACTAATTTTGCTAAAATTTTATGCATTCATTGCGGATTTTTACCTAATTTTTATTATTATTATTATTATTATTTAAATGAGCATATTTTTACTTAAATTAAATTATGAATACTTGCAAAAGTTTATAACTAAAACTTTCATTTGCATAAATTTCAATATTTATATATTAAATATATTAAAAAAGTTTACAAAATTTAATAATTTTGCAAATTTAATAGATATAAAAATATTACGAAAATTTATTTTCAGAGATAAATTTATATTAATATTAAATTATTATAACATATTAAATAATATATTAACAATTACTGTATATTAAAATTCACATGGCTAATGTTTTATTTAATGTAATTAATTTAATTAAACAATATATATATATATATATATATATATATATATATATTAATAAAAAGGATTATTAGGATGTAATAAAGTAAAGTTACATAATTTTATATATAAATACTATTAATATATATTATTTTATTATACGTAAAAATTAAAACATGCTAATTGTAACAATAATTGTTAGCATAGCTAATGTTTTTTTAATGCCACATAAAACAAATGGACACCAATTAAAACCGGTTATGTAAATGTCTAAACATTTTATATATTTTTTTATTAATATAAATTTAATTATCGGTCAATCGCCTATATTTAATAGTAGTGTATACTAACATTATTGTAATATTTATATGTAATGTCGAATGAATAGTCTATTGAAATGTTGTAAACTGTATTGAAATAAAGTAGTAATAAATTTTTGATAATAATAATAATACTGTAGTTTTATTATTTATTACTAATATTTAACGTTATTAAATATCACTAAAGATTTTATTATATAATACTGTTTGCATAGATATAAACGTAGAAACAAAAAAAACAAAATAATTTGTCTTAAGGTCCTACCGAGACTCGAACTCGGATCGCTGGATTCAAAGTCCAGAGTGCTGACCATTACACCATAGAACCGACTTATTAATTGATGTGCATCATTACAAAATTGTAAAAACAATTTTATTAATCATTTATAAAATTTTAAAAAATATTTTTTTTTTTTGATTAATTAGCAAATATGTCTCTTATAATTGCAAATAATTTTTATTAATCACGCGTTCATTATGTATGCCACACACATAGACACACACAAACACATATGTTTAGCAAACAAAATAATTATATATATATATCATATATAAATTATTTTACTGAATCAACAGTATTTAATACACGTGTGTTATAACAAATAATACTAATATATAACCCCAAACAGTAATAAACATATATATAAATAAGTTATTTAACTCTTTTTCTAACTTTTCCTTAATTTATGATAAATGATATGAAACCTATTAATTATAAATACAGAGATCAAAATGATATGACATTATTGTATATATTGACAATAATTATTGCACTTTTCAATGCCCTCAAAACAATTTAAAATAATTTATAACCCCTTTTTTTTATTTTATTATACAAATTTTAAGACTCTAGGTCATAATATACCTTAATATTTTTAAATTATTAAACTTAATTTTACTTTATTCATAGACATAAATAAAACATACTTTTTTATATATATAAATAAAATAAGTTTATATTATTATAAAAATACAATACTATATTATAACAAAACATGCAAATATATATATACTGTATATATATAAATAAAATATTTCTTATAATAACAATATAATTATAATTTTTAAGGCCACAAAAAAATATTGTCACATAGAAAATTAAAATAAATATTATAAATATATATAAAATATATATATTTGTTTAGGTAGTAAATAACAGTTAATAATTAAATTTTTAAAAAACAATGAGTGGAATGTTATTTAAGTAGATATTTGTGTTTTTTTTAAAAATATTCACTAATTTTAACAGTGCTATCATAAACCAATTGATAATACAAATCCCAATAGTATTAAACATAAACCAATTATTGTAGACAAATAATAATAAAAATAATACTGTATTAACAATTAGAAAATCATATTATTGAACACAAAAGTATTATATAAGTAATGTTTAAGTATTATAATTATTATCTATTCATTATAGTCTTAATCGCCGTTTCGCTTAGTGAGTCAATAATGGACTTTTCATCGCCCGAATCGACTATAGACTCGCGTATGGCATTCACGCGCATAGCATCGGACACGTGTTTCGGACGTACAATATCGGCACCTCTGGAGCGTAACTCGTTTTCCAAATAAGTTATATACTGACAAAAAGCTGGCGTCGATGTGGAACGGGATGGCATACCATTAGCTGGCAATGTTGGCGTCGACATACCGGTACTATTGTGGTTTGTGTCCAATAATACACATAACTATTACATACGAAAAAACACAGACAAAAAATATGAAACTTTAAATAAATAAATTTAATTTAAAAAAAACACTATATTTCAAGATTATAGATAAGTATGATGTCTAACATATTTCAATGTAAAATTATTTTTTAACTTTAAAATTTTAAAATGTTAACTTTAAACTAATTAATAATTGATGGTTTTCATATGGGTTCCATGGTGTAATGGTTAGCACTCAAGACTCTGAATCTTGCGATCCGAGTTCGACTCTCGGTGGGACCTCAGTTTATTTTGCTTTTTTTATAAAACTTTACTAATTTTATTTTTTTACATACTGAATTAAAGTTTTTTAAAAGAAACAATTAACATTAAATAATTATTAACTAATAAATTATTAATAAATAATAAGTATTTTTTTTAAAAACATGTAAACGATCATGGTTCATTTTGTTTTTAATATTTATAATAATAATAAGGATAAACAAAAATGACCAGTGCTAATTAACATACAGTAGATATCATCAATAGGTTATCACTTAATAAACTGTCACTTAAACTGATCCTTAAGAGTATCGACACTATCATCAACAGTGCAAACAAATTTCTAGTCAATAGATATATCATTTTGAAAGTCTAGTTATAGCTTTGTATATCATATATATGATATATAAGAGATTTGTGATAAAAGATAAACATATTTGTCTCAAAATTAGTTCCCAAAGAAAGAGAGAGAGAGAGAGACAACAAAGAGTCTTATATTGTGTGACAACAAATAGATTAGTCAATCAATTGATTGATTGGTGACAATACCTGTTTGAGTGAATAGTTTTCGCGGATCAGATCAAACTGTTTGGTCTCCAATAGATTGAGCTTTACTTTCATCTGATTCCAGGTCTTCAGTTGTTTGGCATTAAACTCTTTGACCAGAAGTTTGGCGTAATTTCTTTCGTCGTCCAAAAATAGTATCAATTCTTTCATTTCCGAGTTTTCGCGCATCAGTTCCCGGAGTCGTTGCTTAGAACTTAGGGTATCGTCGGGACTACCGATACCCAGACCAACAACAACATCACCGATACTACCGCCGCCGCTGACCATACCGTTCATATCCATAGTCTATATGTCTGACTGTCTGTCAGTCTGTCTGAAGTGTCTGTATGTCTAACACCGCTTCAGTGGTTGTATTAGCTCAACGATTATCACCGATAATCACATCCAATAAGTAAATCAAATTAATTGATCACTTCATAATCGGTTCAATAGTCAGACCAAACATATTGAAAGATAGAGAGAGAGAGAAACCAAACATTTATTTCATGAAAACAATAAACAAAACAAAAAAACAGTTTATTTTTATTATGTGTTTGCAATTCATTTGACGTTCAAATCGATTGTCGATTGTATCGAATATTTCACATATTTTATGCTCACTATTACTGTAATAATATTAATATTAATAAATTTTTTTGACGACAATTACGTCAAAATATTTCGATATATATATATTTTTTTTAAAAATTTACAAAAAAATAAATAATAAATATATTTATTTAAAAAAATGTCAATAATTAATATAATTTTTTTAAAAAATATAATATGCTTTTTATATTATGTTTTTTTTTTTTTAAATGTATACTTACTTATAACCAAAAAAATTTATATCATTTTTTTGAATTATTGAAATAATTAATTTTTAAATAATTGTACATGTTTCAATTTTTTATCTATAGTACATAAATTTTTTAAAGTAATATAATGTAGTTTTATAATAATTGGGATTAATCAATCATATTTTTTTAAAAAAAATATTTTTATTTATTAAACATTAATATAATTATTATTAATAATAATATTGTATAACAAAATATAGATATAAATAGATAGATGGATATAATTTAAGTATTGTTACATACATATGGGGGGTAATCTGTAATATTATAATTTAATTGTTTTATATTAACTTAATATATATATTAAAAATATATTATTATTATAATAATAATAATTAAATATTATTGACACACTAAATTTAATTATTTATAAAATTGCTATCATATCACACAAATTACATATAAAATTTGATTATTAACCAAAAATAAATCTTACAATTATTATTTTTTTAAAAATAAAATATATATTTAAAACTTATGCTTATTATAAGCATTCTATACATAATCTGTATTTAATTTAATTCGATGTTATTATGTAAAAAATAACTATTAAAATATCAAAATTATATAATTTTTTTAAAATTTATTTATTATATATTTAAAAAAATAATAATAATTTACGGATTAATAATCTTAATATTGGCAGTGAATACGGCAATCATTAAATAAATTACAGAATGTATACAATTGGATACAATAGCGATCCAAACGGGAAAGTGTGATAAACCCCATCCGCGGCTCATAATCGATCGAAACGCTTCGGTAGGCAGTGTTAGTGGGGACAGTAGGGTCAGTGTCTGCAGGAATGATGTGTACGACTCGACTGGCCATATAATGCCGCTGAAGAAAAACGATGGTAACAGTACGCCAATACGGACAACCATTGCGGCCGATTCGGTGGACACGAGAGCCGATATGAGAACACCGAACGATATGCTACAGAAACCGTGAAAAAAGATTTCGGTTATCAACAACAATATGCTTCCCTTGACCTCCAGTTCCCAAATGAATAGTACGGTAACACTGTAGACAACTATCTGTAGTATAAGAAACATAAACTGCAGTACAATATGCGATACAATATAATCGGAAACATTAACACCGGCTACAAGACTGCGCTCCAGGATTCCTTCCTCCCGGTCCTTCAACATAGCAAATGTACACAATTTTAGGGGTGCATAGAATAAGATAAATGACATGAGTCCGGGAAGGGCGTACTCGGCAAATGTCGGATCGTATCGGCCGTATATGTATTGCGGAACGAGCGGTACTTCGGCGATACGCGGATTTTCATCAACCGATTGGAAGTAATGTTTCAGAAAATTGATGACAGTTACGCGCACTTTGTCCACAATCTGCGGACCGACCATAATGTTGGACATATCGGCATACAAATTGACAGTGCTTTGGCTGCCAAAGATGGCGGTGTCGTTTTGGTCGTCGGTAAACTTGCTTTCGATTCTTTCGACTAACGAGTCGCTAAAATTTGCAGCAAAAGTGATGGCCATCGATGTTTCGCCCGTTTCGACCGATCTGATGGCCGACTGTAGTGTCCGATGAGGAAACTGTATGATCGATGTGTTGTCAAACAGGTCGAGTATTTGTGTCGAATAGTTGCCGTTGAGGTCGTCGTTGAATACGGACACCCGAAAGCCGTGTTGCGGTCCGGTTACCATCAGAAACAGCGACAGTTCAATGGATGGCAACAATAATACCCAAAAAACTAGTGTCAAATTGCCTCTCAATTTGATCCAATTCTTGAAAAACAGTGCCCAATGTTTATGAAGCGACAGATTGTCACTCAATTGTCGCCAATACGACTGGTAGTCATCGGATTGTCTTTCTTGAACATCTTGGTTACTATTTTTGTACTCATTGTTTGGATTCATATTGTTATCAAAAAAGTTGATACTATTTTTAACCACAACCTGGTTATGATCATCGCTTGTTTTTTGGCTATAATTTGTTTTATCAATCGTTGATGATTTATATGGTAATGATTTACTATTAATTATTGTCGTCTTATTGTTAATAGTTTTATCATTAGTAGTGGTAGTAGTAGTAGTTGTTGTAGTTGTAGTAGTAGTAGTCTTATGTGTGCTATCATCCGAGTAGCATATCTTCAGAAATATATCTTCTAATAGATTTGTATTGTATTTCTTAAGCAAACAAATAGGACTGTCCTCTGTCAGCATATGTCCGTGCCGTATGAAACCTATAGTTGATGCACCCCTGGCCTCTTCGACATAGTGTGTGGTTATTATGATAGTTATGCTACAGTTTTTTGATAAGTGCTCTAAATGTTGCCAAATATCTAATCGCAGCAATGGATCGACACCTATAATTGATTTATTTATTTTTTGTTTTGTGTGTAAAAATTTTTGTTATATATTTTATTTTATTATATTGTAATAGTTTTGTGACAAACAAACAAACAAACAAAATAAAGACTAACCAACTGTAGGCTCATCTAAGATAAGCAATGGCGGAGAGTGTATGAGTCCGATGGACATCGATATCCTACGTCTTTGGCCATCACTTAAATCGGACAACAATTGTGTCTTTTGTGGCAAACGAAGAAATTGCAATAAAAACTCAGTCCTCGACTCAATTAGTTGTGTCGACAGACCGTATAGTCTACCAAAATATAGTAGACTCTCGGCTATTGTGAACTCGAGAAACAATGCCAACTCTTGCGGGACATACCCCACGCCGGCACCTGTTTTGAAATAATTTTTTTTATAAATACATTATTTTTTTATAGTATAGTATATATTTTAGTACTATTCATTATCATTAAAAAAAATTTTAAAATAAGTACAGTTAATAAAGTTGAAAAGGTTTATTATAATTAGTAAAAACCTATTTTATTATATTATTATTTTTATTATCATATTATCAACAAAAAAATTAATTGTTGAATTTTAGGTAGAAAATGAAAACATAATTTATTATTATTATTATTTTTGTTAATCTGAATGTCATCTGTAATTACACTTAAGATTTATTATTTATTTTATATATCTTTCTTGTTATACAATACAACAATTATTTAGCTAAATAGTGTATAATTATATTAATATCAAACATTTTTATTATTATTATTATTAAGTTGCTATCGAGAAAAAGAAACTTTTAATATATAGAATATTTTTTAATGATTTTATTATTTTTTATTTTCTAAATTCTAATTAGAGATTATCTAAAAAATTTTATTTTCATGTTATTCACTAAAAAATAGTTTTATATCAAAGTCACTAATTAAATAACTACACAATTATTTTTATATAAAATGTTTTTTTTTTGAAAAATAGTTTTAAGTTTAATTTAATTTTACCTCAATTTTAATCTTATTTTTTTAAACCAAACAATTTGCATAATTATTTTTTCTCTGTAGATAAAATTTATAAATATTTATGCTTTTTTATTGAAAATTCAATGTTATGTTATGTAAAAATTGTATGATTTTCACAAATAAGGTATGCTTTAATGTATTTTAGTTTTATTTTTGATAAAATTTTTTAAATCATTAATGTATTAATTAATTATGTAATGTTGTTATTTTAAAAAAATTATTAACAATTATCTTATATCCAAATTTAATGACAACAATAAATTAGTTTTAACATCAAATAAACTTATATTTATTTTAAGAAATCATATCTTTATTTTGTTTTGTATTTTAATTAAAATGTATTTTTTTTGGAAATTTACAAATTTATTTTAATTTAATTTCAATACCAAACATTATTAATATAAAAATATTTATATGTATTATTACTATTAGCTAATAATTATTTACTGATATAGTTGATTGAATATTTTAGTTCAATAACGTATTATTTTTGTGTAATATTGAATAAATACTTAAAAAATATTAGTATTTTATCATAAATAAAAACACATTATGCAATACATATATAAGTATTATACAATAAATGTCTTATTGGATCAATCAAACAAAATAATAAAAAGAGATTTTTCACATTATTAATTATAAAACAAACAAATTGTTTACTAAAAACTATATATATTTTTTAATATATATATATTAAAGTTAAAACTTTATTTATAATTGAAATAAACTATATAAAATGTTATAATTTATAATAGATATTTGTTGAGTTTTTTGGTTGAAAATAAAGTTGATTGATTAATAAACTAGATAATAATAAAAATGTTAAATTTCAACATAAAGTTTGTTATAGGTTTCAATAAAAAAATTATGTGAAAATATTAAAAGGTTTTAGCTTTTTTTATTATTATCAACTATAATATCATAAACTGATATTTAATTTTATTTAGATTATGTAATTCACACATTATTTTTTAAAAAAATTCAAAATAGTTGTTTCTTAAATTAATTTGGTTTCTTCTATATAATTGTTTGTTATTTAATTTTTGTATAGATTTTTTTTTTTAAAAACATGTATTATAGCCTATATTGCAATCGTTTTCAAATAATCATTGATTAAATAATTGTAAAGTTACAATAATTAATTTTTTTATTTAACAAAAAAAAATCTTATCTATATAATTTAAAACAAATAGTAGCAGTACTAAATTAAAGTGTAACAACAATGTTAATTAATTTACTTATTTATTTATTTATCAGAAAAAAATTATTTTATAAAATCTTTTTTTTAATTACTGTGCATATAATATGATATAGTATTGTTATTAATAACCATGTTATCAACAAATAATTTTTTTTGGACAAAATAAAATTTATGTGCCAATTTTTTTTAAAAAAATAATTATGATTTGCTAATTGAAAGTTTTTCCCGTGAAATTTTAGTGACAATTTTTTTTAGCACATAATCATTAAAGAAAAAGGTTTTCTTTTAAAAAAAAAATTATCAAAACTATCAGTAAGTGTTAAATAAAATACTGTTTACTTATATATGCATTTTATTATACTGTATGTCGATATGCATATTAGCACATATCATATCTTAAACTTTGGGAAAATTTGTTAAAAACTATAGATTTCAATAAATTAACAAAAAAAATAACTATTCAATTGATAAGTCTAAGAGCTTCTCATATAAATTATATGATATAATGCATTAATGATAACTAAAATGGCTAATAATTTGTTTATATTTAATAAGTTAAAACTGGCTATTTTTTAATCTAAAATTCAATGTAAATGTTTAAATAAATTACTAATTTTATTATTAATTGCTAACAAAAAAAACAAATAAATAACAAATTGTTATCAGATATTATTTAATTGGACTAAATATACTTTAAATCAATATTCTAATCAATTCATTATTATTAGTATTTTTATTATTATTTTATTTAAATTAATTTTTAATATAATCTGATTTAGATATAAATAAAAATTTATGTTTTGTTTGTATTTAAAAACTAATAAAATAAAACAAATTATATTAATGTTTTACAATAATTTCCAATGATATAAAAATTTAAATGTTATACAATTAAATTTTGATTATAGGATATTATAGTATATATATATTAATATATTAATATATGTATGATAATAAAGTGTCATATAATTTATAACGATTAATAAAATTATCGATTCTAATGATTTTAAAAAAGAAAAATTAATAATAATAAATTTATTTATATATATGTATATTAAATATATTAAATGTTTAATCGCGATTAAAATAATAATAATAAAATATTTTACACATAAGTGACATTTCAAATTAATAATTTTCAAACAAAAATTATTAAATAGTTAACAAACAGACAGTTGAAAAAATTTATATAAATATTATAGTAAATGAAATGGTTTTTCTCTGGTCGTGTATTAATATGACTATAACCTCAACCCATTGAATGAGAGAGAGAGAATGAGAGAGAGAGAGAGAGAGAGAGAGAGAGAGAGATTATCTAAAAAGATTATCCGTTTTGTTAATGAGTTTCAAGGAATAGCTCTCAGTCACACACACTTTAAAGCATTTAGTTTTCACATAAATACATAACTTATAAAACTCATGTGTGTTTCTATGTATTTATGTGTGTGTGTGTTTGTGTGTGTGTGTGTGTGTGTGTGTGTGTGTGTGTGTGTGTGTGTGTGTGTGTGTGTGTGTGTGTGTGTGTGTGTGTGTGTGTGTGTGTGTGTGTGTGTGTGTGTGTGTGTGTGTGTGTGTGTGTGTGTGAGAGCGTTGTTTGTTTATATAGATATTTAGAAATTTTATGAAAATATCGTAAAATTAATTGAAAAAAAATAAATTTAATTGTTAATCAAAAAGGACTTTATATTTATATTTTATAAGTCACTTCATGACTTCACGATTGCATGTCTCTCTCTCTCTCTCTCTCTCTTTCTTTCTCTTTCTCTCTCTCCCTCTCTCTAAAGTTTTTACACTCACTTAATAATACACACACACACACACACATCAAACAAATTTTTATTTAAAAAAACCTCTCATTCACTCATTTGGTAAGTTATCCTTAATAAATCAGTATTAGTTTTTTTTTGAAAAATAAAGTCTCTGTTCAAAATAAAAATTATTTTTATACAACGTTTAAAAATTTTTCGAGAAAATAATTTGCTAAATGAAGAAAAATTGTTTTTTTAATACTTATAGTGAAAGCAATAAACAAATAACACATAAATGCCATAAGTTATGAATTTATGTGAAAAATAAATATAATATATATCATATACAGTATATATACTTTACTGTATATATCAATAATAAAATAGCTTTATGTTTGTGACTGAGAGCTACTACTCCTTGAAACTCATTAACAGATCGGATAATCTTTTTAGATAATCGTCAAATTCAATGGGTTGAGGTTATGTGTAGTATTTTTTTAAAAAACTACCAGTGCTATAATGCTTAATAGCTATAAGTTTTTCCCAATATAATCACACCTATAGTTTTTATTTATTTAATGCTTTTATTAATTCAAAAGATTTTTTAATGCCAAATCATATAAAACTGTCTTAATATAAATTTTTATTATTATATGTATATCTAATTTCTAATTAAGTTTTTATTATTTTTTATTAATGTCTTTCTATTATATATATATATATACTATATTATTATAATTTAAATATAATTTATTATTATCATTATTACTTATATATATATATATATTATACTCTCATTAAGTTTTTATTTTAAATTAGTTAATAAAAACTATTTAAACAAAAACAAATATTTACCACAAAATAAAACCATAAAAAATATTAAATAAACAGATAAATATGTAATGAATTACAAAATTTTTTAATTTATATATTAAATATGTAACAAAAAATGTAGAATTAATATTTTTTTGTTAGGATAGCAATTAAATGATAAAAAACAGTTATAATATTTAGTTTATGGGTAATTTGTAATTTAATTTATTTTAAATTATAGCAATTAGACTGTATATTGTATCTTCAAAATTAAATATTTTATTATTAATAATAATAATCATAAAAAAATTTTCCAGAAATATTATATTATTTATAAAAATATATCATATATAACGGCAATAATTTACGACATTATGTGAAAATTACAAAAATAAAAAACATCAAAAAATTATTAAATAGAAAAAAGATCAATTAAATTCAATTTTTAAAAAAAACTAATATTTTAGATAAATTTTGATAAATTGGTTAGATTTTTAAATTCCACAAAAATTAACAAAGTTTTAAAAACAAATATTTGTATATATAATTATTTATTAATATCAGATATTTCATATAAAGTATAAAATAATATATAATTTTTTTTTATAAAATATACAACAATATTTGTTTCATAAATGATCTGATAATTTTTAGTTATTAAATTATTGAATTTTGCAATTTTATTAAAAAAAACTAATTTTATTTTCAAATATTTTTATACTAATTTAGATAATTCAATAACAATAATACATTTTAATTTAATTATCTATTTTTTGTATTTTTTTATAAAATAATATAAATTATTTCATGAGAAAATAATTTTGCATAAAACAAAAATATGCATAATTTATATTTATTTAAGATCATGATTTTAATATTAATTTTTTAGATATAGCCTATAATTTAACACATTAATTTTATGTATTTTTATTTTATTTAATTAATAATTAAATAATTTTATAGGATATAAATTATTGTTATAAAACTTTACATTATCATAAATACGGTATTATAATAGTTATTATTAATGGTAATAAAGCTAATATAGATATAATTTAGGCATAAATAAAATATATTACTAACTTTATATTTTGAAATTTGATTTATGATTTTTTTTAAAATTACAAAAAAATTACAAATACTTTACTGTTTAGATAAATACATAATTAAGGCATTTTAAAAATATTAATAGATATTATTTTGGTTTATTTAATATTATATATCAATAGTTGAAAATTTACTGTAATAAATTAATGGTTGGTTTTTTTAATTAATTTATCAAATTATTTAGGTTTTTCATATTAATAAGCCCTTTAAGTCACTGTCAAATTTTTAAAATAATTTTGCTAGTATTTTAAAAAACTATTTTATATTATAAATAATGATTTATTATTTGTACCGTACAATCTCTTAACTAAACATATGTTTTAGTATTATTATTAGGTATAGGATAGGTATATATATATATATATATATATATAGTTAAACAAAATTTTTGCTTATTTGCATTTGACACCACTAATTAAATAATAATTACCAGATCTTAATTAGCAATGGCGCTGCTGGTTGTTTAAATAGATGATAGTTTGAAGCAATATATAGATATATATATATATATTTATATATAATATCTAAAAATGTTGTTTTAATTTAAATTAATTATAGAGAAAAAAAACGTTTATAACCATAAAAACTGGTTTTGTTTTTATTTTTATAATCTACAACATCCGTAATAAACAAAATATGAGAGCAAATAAAATAAATATAGATATTTATATTGATATATATATTATCTATTATTTAAGTTTTTATATAATTTTTCTGAGTTTTTTAAAATAGTATTTTACAGTTATAATAATTTTAATTATTTTATGTTAAAAACATATAATTTAGTACTAACCGGGTATTTGGCTTTTTGACGATCCGGGCGTCTGTCCAAATATTTTGATACTACCGGAGCTCGGCTTTAGTCTATTGACCATACATTTAATGAATGTAGTTTTGCCGGACCCGTTAGGTCCCAGCAGTGCATATATCTGACCCTTTGGCACACTTACGGACAGATCATTGAGCACTGGTTTCATAAAATTGCCGAAAATGTCTGAATAAGAAAATTGTAAATTTTTCACTTCAATAGCATTCACATCGTTTGTATTAATATTATCCGCCGCACAATCATTATTATGGTTAGCCATCATTATAATTGTCTATTATTATTATTATTACGGGGAACAGACAGCTAAGGGGACAGACAGTTACAGACTACTATTGAGAGGAGCCCAGCAACAGGTCACGCGGTCAACACTATTGAAAAAAACAGTCAGTTGTTGTTGTTTTAGCTGTGAATAAAAATAAAATCAAAAAAAAAGTTGTTTCCAGTGGTGCTTCCGCTATGACACACATACCATAGCCATCATAGCCTACATTTAATAAGTTTTTACAACAAAAATATGACTTTCGCTATCTTACAGTTCTCTCTCTCTCTCTCTCTCTCTCTCTCTCTCTCTCTATCTTTTTCTCTCTCTCTTTCTATATATCTTATGCCGAGTCAGCTATTGATGTGTATATCCGACAAAAAATACAGTTATGTTTAGTCGCTCAGGCAGTTGAACGCACCGCCCCATATGATCGGTGCGCCACTCGATCAATGAAAAAACCTTTCACATACCAGTGCTTTAAAAATTTTGTATTTTTTATTTGTTGCTTAAAAAAATATATAATATTTTTTATATAAAAAATGTTGATTTAGATAATTAAATAAATCAAAAATATTTAAAATATTAATTTTTCAATTTAGTATATAATTATTAATAGATTAACTGAATAACTAATTTGCTAAAAATAAATAGATTAACAATAAGTTTGTTAATTATATAAATTTGTGTAATTTTTAAAAAAATAAAATTGTTGTCAATATAACCAAAAAAAATGTTGTTTTAAAATTATATCATTGCATTATTCACAAAACTATATAAAATTATAGATATATAATTTAGAGCATTGGAAAAATTATAGTTAATTTATTTTTATTTTATTACATAAACTTTTATACCATCACTTAATAAAAATTTGTTTTACAGTAAATCAATTTTCTAAAGTTTTTGCATTTTTGTTGATTAATTTTTTTAAAATTTTTAAAAAGATGATTCGGTACTACCGTTTTATGTGCAGTTTATAAATTTATATATATATAATATACAGTATTTATTTATTTATTAAGAAAATCGTTACATTATATTTTTATTTAATGATAAACATATATATATATATCCAATAATTAAAGATAACATTTTTATTGCATACATATATTAAATACTATAATAATGATTACAATCCTAACCAAAAAAATGGTCATCTTATTTTATGATTATTAACTTAATTGCAATTAAAAATGCAATTAACATGTGTTTTATTTATATGAAAAATAACATTTTAATTAAATTTTGTTTTATTTTTCAAATATATATCAGCGATAATAATAATAAATTTATCTAAATGGCAAATGTATTCAAAGAGAAAAATATAATTTAGAAGATTTAGGAAAACAAATTAATCCTTTGATTACTTAATTGCTAAATATTTGTGTTAACTAAAACAATTAAAATAAATTAAACGTATATATCAATTATATATCAAATAATATTTCAATATACAGTATATACTGTATATATTGTACTGTATATACCTGTATTATACAGGCTGTATATGTATAATTAATACAGTTTACAGTACAGTACTGTATATACAGTACATAACCAAACTTGAAGTCTATTTTACTAAAACTTAGTTTTTTTTTTAAATACTGTAAATGTTTTAACCATTAGATGATAGAGATGTCGCACAGTTTGCTATATTATACTTAGCTTTTTTTATTGCAAAAATACTGCAGATTTTAGTATTTTCTAAATAATTATTTTTATTTATATCCTTAACTTTAAAAAAGTTTTTGATTTACTGTACTATGCATTATATGGTAATAATTTAATTTTGAAAAATAGTTTTCCTCTTAAAAAAAACTTTATTTTTGTATTCATTGAATTTATAAATAATAATGTCTTCTCTCTCTCTCTCTCTCTCTCTCTCTCTCTCTCTCTCTCTCTCTCTCTCTCAGTAAGTAGTAATTAGTTTTAATTGCACATTAAACATGATTTTAATTTACGTGTATTTAATTAACATTATAATGTATATTTGATTGATGTTTGTTTATTTGCATTATTTTAAAGTCAATATATAATATATGATACAATAGATTTTATCATAAATAATGTGATTGTATCATTTAGTAGAAAAAACATCTATATATGGTCAATGAATTACAATTTGTATTGAATAAATAAATAATTAAAACATTTAATTTTTATAAAAAAAATAGTTGCAAATAATATAGTAATTTCATCATTTATTTAATACAAATGATAATGACATGTATTAATACTGTATATATTATTAGTAGAAAAAAATTTACATTAAATTAATAAATTGAAAAAAATAGCACCGATTGTATAATATTTGACAATATTATACATGTATAGTATATTCAATAGTAATCAAATAGGTTTATTTTTTAGTTGGTAACTATCCTGCAAATTTCCATTAAAATTTATTAACTTTTCAACAAAAAATACAGTTATTTTATCTATTTTTTGTATGAATGAAATATCCATTAAAAATAGCAATTACTGTATTAATAGGAAAAAAGTAACTAATAATATATACTGTCTATATATTTCAAAATACAAGTTTATTAATATTATGTGCAACTTTGTATTAAAAATATCTAACTAGTTCAATTATTATTATTTTTTGGGTGATCTGGTTCAATTTGGTCAGTATATAGATAGCATTTTTTTGATCAATTACTTTATTTTTATTTCTATCTATAATTTAATTAGTTTTATATAATTTGTTTGCAAAATATTTACAAATTACAATAATACAATGTATTAAATTTCTTTAATATAACTAATCCATCATTTAGTTTAATATCAATGATTATCATAATTGAAAGGGTATATGAAATGTATTGAAAATAACTATATCCGTGAAATCTATATATATATATATATATATAATATTATAAGTATTATGTTTTAATAATATCATAATTTATATTTTAAAATTTAGTCCAACCACGTGTCCATTAAAATAATAGTCAGTAAATGAGACTATAATAACTTAAAAAAAACATTTCTATTTTATTATTTATCTGATGTAATGGTCAGTAATATTTATGCAATTTTTGTTATAAAATATATTGTAATATATTTTATATCATATTAATATAGAAACCATTTATACTTTAATATACTTTAAGTATTATTAGTATTTTTTATGTGTATATGAATACTGTAAGTAAAGTGTTTATGTATATAATAATAATTTTTTTAATTAGAATATACTTTAGATTAATATTAAATATAATTATCACATAATTATTGTGTTTTCTAAATTTTAGTCAAACTTGTAATTGACTTTTTTATATTAAAAAAAATTGAATTTTATATTAAATTACTATAAATATATTACATATAATTTTTCTGTACAGTACTAAAGTTTAATTATTGTGTGAAAAAAACTTAGATTTTATTGTTTATATAAAAAGTCTCATAGTTTTTATTTTTTGTAATTTGCCAAAAAATAGTTAATTACATGTTATAAATTAATTGTATACTTATTTAACGTTTTAAAATACTACAATTAAGATTTTATATATACCGGTATAATATATTTAAATTATTATTATTATTATTTTCAGGAGAAAATTTTCCCAAAATTGCATTATTTGTTAAGTCTATTATTCAGTTTTAAAATGTTACAAATATAACAACAATTGTATATAAAAAAAATTATTATTATTTCTAATATCTGTAATAATGTAATGTTTTAGTTTACTTTTTTTAAAAAATTATTATTTCATATTTTTGTGTTATGAAATTAGTTAAACATATTTTTGTTGTTGCTGATTTATTAGTATTAATATAATCTATAAACATTTAATTTATTTACATAGAAAATTAATAAATTTTCTTTAATTGGGCAATTTTTTTGTAAGTTTTTTTTTTATTTAAGAATTTTATCAGTAAATATTTGCAAAATTAATTATTTATTAGATAAATCAGATAAAAATGTTATTATTGTTTGGCAATATAAAACTCTTTTTATTAAATTAATTTTTTTTCATATACATTAATTCATAAAAAAAGATATATAAATTAAAATAATTTTAATATTTTGTTTATAATAATAATAATAATAATAATTTAAAGAAAGCGTTTTATATGTATTGAGGAAATTTAACATTAAAATAAATTTTGGCGTATTTTCCGCAATTTATTTTAATAATAATTTCTCTGTGTTTTATTTCTAGGATTTAAATTTATTATAATATATATATATTTTTCTTCAAATATTATTGTTTATTAGTTTGTTTTCAGAGTATATTGTATTATTTCAAACAACAAGTATTGTATAGTTTGTATAATAGTTGTCGACTACTAACAGTATAAACACATCAATAAATAATTTTAATTTTAATAAATATTTTTTCTTTAAAAATATTTATTGTTTGATTTGAGCTGTTTGTGTGCAAATTGATTTAAAGTAAGGTATTTAACATAGATTTTTAACTGTAATAATGCCATATCTTATATTTTTAATATATTTTTTTATATTAAAATTTATTATTATTTTTATTCTTTAATCTCTTTAAATAATTTATTAGTATAATTACAAATTTTTATTTATTTATTTTTTTCAAAAAAAAAAACGATTTTATGAGTTTATAGTTTATAACAATAATTTATATGATTAATAAAAATAAATAAACATCTATTTGATTCATCACTAGTGATAACTACACTTAAATGGGTTCACAAAATCTGACTGTCTTTTTGATGTAATTTTAAATTTTATTTTTTTGATTGCATTAAAACTAAAGACTCATTTTTTTCTGTAAACCCCTTTAAGATGTGGCCATCGCTAGTGAAACGGCCGACACGTGTAAAACTTTTTTTTTTAAAAAAACTTAATTTTTATTTTTTACAAAACAATACAAAAAAATATAACTAACAAATATTGTTATAAATAATTAACATAATAATAATTATTAGAAAAATCGGTACTCATTCGCAATATTATTGGATTTATTTGAAATGTAATTTTGCGAAAGAGTTACGAGTTTTTTAAATAATTGCTAAACACATATCATTTACGATATCATATCTATATTTTTTAAAAGTAATTAATAGGTTTTTTTATTATCGTTATAAACATCAATATCAAGAAAATAACAACAACAACAAAAAATTTAAGTAAATGTAAGTAAAGTGTTGCAAAATAAAAATTTAATAATTAATAATAATAATAATGTTAACTCTTTCGTTAAATTTACTACAAATTTGTTGAGCATTTGACGTTTAAAATATATAATTTGTAATTTTTATTACTAATAAAATTATTATTATTTTTAAATACAGTAATTGTATGAAATTGCAATTTGTATTTATTTTAATATTTTATAGACTAGTGAAAAAAAATTATAGATAAAATATTTATTTTTTAATTAATATATAATATTTTAAATAAATCAAATGTCTAAATAAATTAAATAAACAAAATTAATAGATACTAATACACATAATTTAATAATTCTAACTATAAATTAACGTGTTTTAAATTTTTTTTTATAAATGATTAATCAAATTATATTAAATGCTAAATTATTACTATAAAAACTTTAATGATACAAAATAAAAACAAAATTTTGATTATCACTCTTTTTTAAAAATGTGTTTTTAATTGAATAAATTTTTTAATTTTGTAAAATTATAAGTTTTGGACATAAAAAAAATCTGTTGTTAGTTATCATTATGAGTATGCTAAATATATAATAATTGAAATATACTATATATATATAATTATTATTTTAATTACAATACCTATAAAAAAATTATTATTAATTTATACTAGCACATCTGCTAAAAGCATATGTAATTTTTTTTATAAAAAAATATTGATGAGATTTGTTTGATTAATTTTACTTTTTTCTTTAAATTTTTAGTCTAATACAAAAACAAAAATTTTATTTTGAAAATTATGATAAATATACTAATTTTAATATCATTAATTATCCTATTTATAAATCATATTAATTGTCAATATTTTAGTACTGAACCAGAAATCTACTACAATGCGGTAAATTAAATATTAATAATATTTTTATTTATTATTATTATTATTTATAAAATTATATTTATTTTTATATTAAAAAATCTTCATTTTGTTGTTGTTGTTATAAATAAAGACTCAGTTAATTGAAGCGCGAGGTTTCAAATGGGAGTCACATTTGGTGACCACAGATGATGGCTATATTCTTCAGTTGTTTCGTATTGTTAATCCATATTTAAAGCCAAATGAATTGAAGGAAAGGCCGGTTATCTTATATCACGGATATGCAGACAATGCCGGCACTTGGCTTAAGAATAGGAAGGGTAGCCTAAATAGCAAAGGTATCTATAGTGAAGACAATGGCAAAGTTGTCAACAATTGTACTACACGTTTGACATCGACACTGGCCTACACGTTGGCCGCTTGCGGTTGGGATGTATGGTTGGCCAATAGCCGTGGCAATCGGTATTCAGACAAACACGTCAATCTTACAACTAATGGTTTATAGATTTTTTTTATAAATTATTATTATTAATAATAATTATTACATATGTGATTATACCTGTGTACCTACCTGTGTAAACTAACACAGGTACGTATGTATTGGTTTATGTAATTAAAAACTAGTTAAATTACAATTTTTTTCATTGTCGGAGCATAGACTTGAAATACTGGGAATACTCATTGACTGAACAGTCCTTAAATGATGTCCCCGCAACTGTTTTTAAAGTACTTGAAATTACTAGAAAAGGTAATTTAGAAAAAATATTATTATTATTATTATAATTAAATCAATAATATATATCAATATTTTTGTTGTTTTTGTTGTTGAAAATTCAAGAAACATTATCATATGTTGGACTATCATTGGCCACAACACAGATGTTTATATTGCTATCACTGAAACCCGAAATGGAAAAATATTTTAAACCATTCATAGCATTGGCACCGATAGCTTATTTAGGAAACACTAGAAGCCTGTACCGAGCACTGGCACCTATTGTACCATTATTTAAGTAAGCATTATTAAATTTTAGGGTGAATTTTTTATTTAAATAATAATAAATTACATGTATTATTATATTTGTAATATCAGACTAATTTGATACACTTTTTTGTGTGTGTCTGTATGTATGTGTATACAGTTCCGTAACAATAGGTTTGGGTGTACCGGAACCGTTGATACAGTTTATTGGGAAATTTATTTGTGGCAATTTTATATTAAAATTTGCCTGTCTCATCTATTATGATGTATTCTATGGTAAAGATAGTAAAAATTTAGATACGGTAAGTGATACAGTTAAAATATTATAAGTTAATATATTTTAAAAAATCATTTATATAATACACTATATTCAATGATAGGCATATATATATATATCAAAAATATATATATATATATATATATTTATAATAATAAAAATACTAATAATTAATAGGAAAGAGTACCCGTTTATTTGGCCACTGGGTTTGATACAACATCATCGCGTATATACTTACATTTTGGTCAACTAATTTTGAGCAATAGATTTGCTAAATACGATTTCGGACTGATTGACAATCGGAAAATATACGGCCAGATTCATCCACCCGACTATCCACTGGCTAACATAACCTCACGGCATATCTATATGTTTAACGGAATCAACGATTTGTTGGCCGATGAAACTGATGTCAACAGATTGGCTGCCAATTTGAAATGTATTAATAAAATTAAAATATTAATAATTATTATTATATACCTTAAAAATAATAAGATAGATATATAATTATATATAATGATAATGTAATGTAATTAGTCTAATGTTATCTTTTTTTGTTATTGTTAACAGATTTACGTAAATTGCAGACAATTTCGTGGCCATTGTGGACACATATAGACTTTAGTCTTGCAAAAGAGTCAAACAAATATCTGGATCAGTATGTTATTCAGATATTAAGATCATATAACTAATAATAATTAAATTATTATTACAAATTATTATTGTTAACTGATATGTGTTATTGATTTTTCTAGTCATTATCTCATTAATGTTTTTTTAGTAATCACATTTTTAATATTAATTATTATTTAAATTTAATATATGTTAATGAATCGACAAATAAATTTTTTAAAATATTTTAATATTAAATTATTAACTATTATTTAAAAAAATAGATAAATTACCAGTAAGTAAATACTATAGTTATACTATATGTAATTTAATGTTGTTGATAAATACATTTTTATTAATAATTATTTAGTATAATAGTAAAAATAAACTGTAAAAATAATCGCATTTATATATTAAATAATAATTCAAAAATTACAATTTTGATTTTATAAGACAATATTTTATAATATACTGTATATTAGTTATCAATAGTATGAGGTTTTATTTTAATCTAATTTAGTTAATAATAATAAATTTTAATACTGTATATACAATATAAATATATTAACTTACGGCATTTATTTAAATTTCTAAAAAATCATTGAAATAATTAATATTTATATAAACCAATCGGAAATCGGGTGCTCAGGTCATGTTTGATGGACACACAAAATCTTAATTATAAGCGACAAATAGTAAGAAAATATATTTAAATCAATAAATTAGTTATCATTTTAATATAATTAGTATTGTATTTTTAAATGACAAATTTGTTTTTAAGTTAATTCAAATTGACAAATTAATGTAACAATTTTATCATATTTGATTAAATATTAATAAGTACTACAAATTATTAATATTATTACTATATAAATACTGTATAGAAAATTAATATTTATGTTTTTAAAATGAAATAATAATTTAGTTTATATATATATTTTTAAATAATATTGAATATAAGTTAGACATAATTTGTTTTATGTAATGAGATAATAATTAATGTTAGATAAACTTATATTTTATAACAAGTTTATAACGTAAATATCACTAAAATATTTATAAAATAGTGTATTCCTGGAAATATCAATTTTAATCAAATTAAATAATTATTTAAACTAATTTTTATCAGTATTAATATAATGCAAAAAAAATGTTTAAACAAAAACATACTGTACTATATATACAGTATAAACTATATATATATATATTATAAATAATCGAAAATTTTTGTCTATCAAAATAATGATTTATATAATAATGGGATTAATTTTTAATTATTATACAATATTTGTTTAGATTAATGTGACTAATGATGATCTCATTTTAATTATTTAAAACTTGATTAAAACTCTATATTTGTTATTGATTGATAAAATTAGCATAGTTACAGTTATACAGTATAATACTATAGTAACAATAGAAATAGGATATTAAAAAATCATATATAAATAGAAATTAGTTTTTTTAATTACATTAATAAATGATTTGCACTTTTGTATCTAAAAAACTAAATATTAGTAATAATCAGTTTTATTTATTAAAACAGTTAACTAATAAATAATTAATAAAATAATGTCTAAACCTATGGTAATCATTGATACCGATTGCGGTGTCGACGACGCGTTGGCTATAATGTTGGCCGCATTTTGCCAAAAACAAAACAAATTGGACATTAAGGCCATTACCTGTACGCACGGCAACACCAGCTGTACTAATGTCACCAAAAATGTTGCCCTAACCCTCAGGGCTATGGATCTAAAGGTATTTATTAATATTATTTAATACATATTATTAATAATAAATGAATTATTTAATTTTAAAAATATATATATAATTATTATTTGAAATTTTCATTTGTAATTTATATATATATATAATTTTTGTAATTTTTAATAAACTTTAATATAAGAATATCAAGATATATAAAGGCTGTGAGTCTCCAACTATCGGACCATTTATTAATGATGAATACTATGGAAAGGATGGTTTGGGCGACTCTACCAAAGATATGCCGCCCATCGATGTACACGTCGAAGCCGAGCACGCGGTCAATGCGCTGATACGGTTGGCCAAAGAAAATCACAAACAGATAACACTGATAGCATTGGGACCGTTGACCAACATCGGACTGGCCTATCTCATGGACAACCAGTTTTTCGATAATCTCCGTGATATTGTTTATTTGGGCGGAACTATAGATTTTGGCGGCAATATGACACCGGCCCAGGAGTTCAATGTAATGAGAGATCCCGAAGCGTGTCATATAATGTTGAACAATGCCAAATGTCCCATTACTATTGTACCAATTGAATGCGGTCTAACCAATCTACTGACCTGGGTATGTCATATATTTTTGTTATTATGTGGTAAATTTAGTAATACTTTTATATATTGAGTTTTTTTATTATATTATTTTTTTTGTACTCAAAAACAATAACTTTTTAGGATATTTATGACAAAATCATAGCACTGGACAATGATAAAGCTAAATTTGTCAAATTGATTACCAATATGGAGTATAAACGTGTTCATCCAGGTTAATTTTATTATTAACTATTAATTTTTAAAAAAAAATAATTTATTAATTTTTGTTTTTTAGGTTTTAAAGGTCTTATAATGGCTGATACATTGACAGTCTTGGCATTTGCTTATCAGGAGTTTATTGTAACTAAACAGTCAATCAAAACTAGTGTTGAACTAAATGGCGAAAATACTAGAGGACAGTTGGTTTTGGATAAAAGACATGGATTTGACTATCAGCCAACCAAATGGCCAAACGTTACATTTATTACACATTTTGATCAGTCAAAGTTTATGCAACTATTGATAGATTTTCTAAAGTAATAAACAATTATAATATCATTAAAAAATGGATTTAATAATAATAATAATAATAATAATCAACTGTTAGTAGTCATAGAAAATATTATCCCAGAAAATTAAAATATTAAACTAATAGTATTTTGAATTAAATATTCGTAGTTTTTTTTTAAAAAAAAATAAAACCTTTTAATTTTAATTTAATTAAGTAATTATTTGATTTTTTAAATTAAATATATGATAAATATTATGCAATTAGATGTACTCCAGATTATGCATTTATCTAGAAAATTATATATAAAATACAAACAATATTATTTAATTCTTGAATTTATTTTATAAAATTTGGAAATATTATTTTTAAACAAATAAACTGCTAAAATTATATTTAAAATATTTATCAATTAAGCCATAAACCATAGTCATATAGCATTTTCATATTAAAAAATTTGACTATTAAACTAAATTAAAAAATATAAAAATAAATAAATTAATAATAATTTGTTAATAGCGCTTATATTCTTAATAGAAAAACTATATTATAATAAAAATTATAAAAAAAATAATAATAATCATTTAAATTATCATTAATCTTAAAAATTAACATAAATAGTTATGTAAATCAACGACTTAATTAATTAAATTTTATTTTTCATTTATTAATAATACATTTATGATATATTATATTATAAACTTAATTAATTATATTTTTGGGAATTCCCATTTGTATATATAGATAATTTAATTTAAAATAAACAGTTTTTTCTAATATTGTTGAAATATTATTATATACTTTATATGCTACAAAATATATACATATACTGTACTATATAAAAGTTAAATATATATTAATTTTTTTATTTAAAAAAAACTTTAAGTTAGATGACCTAAACATTCAAAAAAAAATTAATCGTTAAATGTATTATACCAAGATGATTATTATTATTATTAATTATCCTACGTTGATGATTTATCATAAATCTCCACTTTTCTAGAAAAAAAATTGTTAAAATATTTGTGTAAAAATTTTATAAGTTATTTACACTTTTCAACTGATGCTGACTATTGATTACGACAAAAATCTAAACATCATTAATAGTATTGAGTATTATATATATATAATACAGTATATACTATATTATATAAATATAAATCAGATATAATTGGATGATAAAATAAAATAAAATATGACATTAATAAATTTAAATGTTTTATTAATTGCCACTCAAATATCCCATGTGTTTAGTGAGTGAGTAGAGAAAGTGAGTGAGTGAGTGAGAGAGTGAGTGAGTGAGTGAGTGAGTGAGTGAGTGAGAGAGTGAGTGAGTGAGAGAGTGAGTGAGAGAGTGAGTGAGAGAGTGAGTGAGAGAGTGAGTGAGTGAGAGAGTGAGTGAGTGAGTGAGTGAGTGAGTGAGTGAGTGAGTGAGAGAGAGAGAGAGAGAGAGAGAGAGAGAGATTAATATGATATCATAGCTAAATTATTTTTATAGTATATCTGTTTAATAATGTTTATTTATCCAATTGGGTTTTCATTAAAAACTATTATAAAGTTTATAGATTATACAGTATAAATACCTAGTATATATATATAGGTTAGTGGACCCAATAAAACACCGACACAAACAACAAAATATGATAGGTATGTACTGATATAAATTGATTTGAAGTTTTTTTACCCTGATAAAAAAACCTGCATGCTCAAAAAATTTTAAAGTATATTTTTAAAGAAAAGTACAACGATTTTTTATTTTTATTTTTTGATTAATTACTAGATATTTATACAAAAAATACATTAAAAATAAAGTCAATATAACAAAAATGAAAGTTTATTTATTTTGAAAAAAATATAAAAAATGATTTTAGTTAATTTTTCAAATTAATTTTAACTATTTAACCCATTGGTTTCACTAAAAAAAATACTTGATAAACTAGAAATTAAACTAAATAATATTATATATATATATATAATAGATAGACAGGCAAAAAACTTTATAACTAATATATCATAATATTTTTGGAAAAAAATATTAATTAGATTACAGTAAAAAAAATCGACAAAAATAATTACTATATATATATATATATATATATACAGAGCACACGTTTCGCATTTTTAATAAAGTGTATCAAATTTTTGCTTAAATGTTTTTTTTTGTTGATCGGGTATTTACTATCACAAAAAATTCCACTTAATTAACATTCTATTTATATCCATCAAACAAATATTGTCTTGGTCATAATAAATGTTTTTTTATAAAAAAAATTGTCTAGCAAAATTTTTATTTTATAGTTTAATAGTTTAAAAATAGATAATAAGAAACAAAATAATTTTTTGCTATAAATAGTCGTCGAAAGAGTTCTAGTAAATCATTAAAACCTTTTTTCGCTTAAACATATAGTTTAGAAATAAAAACTTTATTTTACTTTCAAAATGAAATTTTCGGTAATTTATATATAAAATATATATTTTTAATAATTTTTAGTATAAAATATTTGATTAACTTTTTTTCTCCCAAATGATTTGTTTTTTTTTCATTCAGATTGCTATCGCACTGTTGGCAGTGATTGTCACCGTAAATGCCATCCAACCGTTGGGATACTATCCCCAGCTATACCAACCATACCAGCCATATGTGGTGAAGCAGCCGGTGATCTACAAACAACCGATTATCAGTCCAATTGCCGGATACAGACCATTATATGGCGGCGTTTATGGCGGCGGTTACGGCGGTCTATACGGTGGTTATGTCAAACAGCCAGTCGTATACCCGGGTTATTTTGGCAAAAGTCTCTACTACTAAGATTGTATTGAACACTAACTGTCCCATTGAAGTTGTTTGTTAGAAAAAATGATCATTTTTTATTGCTCTCTCTCTCTCCCTGTATATTACCGGTAATATATGTAATTTTTTTATTTAATTTGTTGATAATAAATTAAGTTATTGATTGAAATCATAAACTAAATTGTACTTGTTATTATTATTTTTTAAAATTTTTACTATAATATTTTATAACATTTATAATTAGTATTCAATTCTATTATAGTGTATATGATAATAGTTTAATATTTTATAGTTAGTAAAGTAGCATAATTGGTTATATATTAATATTTTAATTATTTTCTATAACTTGCATCTATAGATAATATTAATTTTTTAATTAATTAATTAGTAAATAATTATTTTGAAAACTTCTATTATTCTAAAATATTTATATTTTGTTTAATAAGAGTTAGAGTAGTTGATTGATAACTAAATAGTAATATGTTTAATGTTTTATTTTAAATAATGATTTGATATTAAGGATTATAAATATGAACTGGCTATACAGTAGGTTTAACATAGATCATATAATGTTAAATTTTATTAAATAACTTAACAAATTAAATTTAAATATCAATATAAACCAGTTAAGAATGCTAGAAAGCATTTTCAGAAAAAAAACTTGAATAGCATTGAAAACCATTAGTTATAGCGGCTATATAATATATAAAAATTTAAAAACTGGTCAAATATACATTATATAAATATTGTCATGTAGAGTATCAATTGACTCGATATGACAAAATAAACAATTTTAGTCATGTAGAGTATCAATTGACTAGGTATAACAAAATAAATTCAACTTTTGTCATGTAGAGTATCAAATGATTTAGTATAACAAAATAATCATCTATAATTATACTTTTGCCGCTTATACTTATCCTTTATGTTCCCGTAGATATCAAAATTTTAATGAATATTTTTTATTTTTGTTTTTGATCCTTTATTCAAATCTATAATTAAAAATTTTTGTGTACTTTTGCCGCCATTTAAAAAAAATATGCTGAAATATTATATCATATTTTTGATGCTCTTTACAATTCTAAACGTTAAAATTTTTACCTAATTTTTTTACTTTGGCCGCCATTTTCTTTATGTTCCCGAAGAGATATCAAAATTTTACTGCATTTTTTATTCTTGTTTTTGATGCTTTATTCAAATCTATACTTTAAAAAAATTTTCTTAAAATATTTTTTACTTTGGCCGCCATTTTGTCCATGTTCCCGAGGAGATATCAAAATTTTAATGCAACTTTTCAATACATTATTAGTAGTCCTCTAACCGAATCTGAAGTCAGAATTTCAAAATTCACAAAAAAATTGCTACACACACACACACACACACAAAAAAGGCTCGTATAGATTTCAGAAAACAAAACTTTTCAAGTTTTTTTTGAAAATTAATGACTTAGATTCTAGATAATTGTAATTTATAAAATCTAACCCAAAAATAGATATTAAAATATATACAGTTAATGATTAAGTTTTAAATTTATTACTATATTTATATATTTATATAATAAACAGTAATGTGAATATGTGAAATATATTTTATACATTATTAAATATAGTGTAGTATCATTTTTAATAAAAATTAAACTAATATTTTTATTTAAATTAGTATAAAAATGTTAATTTTAAAAAAAGTTAGACAATTTAATTTAGTAATATTGTACATAAAATTTTGTCCCTGAAAAAGTCTTAAAATTTTTTATGATTTAGTTATGATTCATATATGAATATAATTCATATACATGTTATTGATATTTAAAATAAATTTTATATTTCCAAAAAAAACATAAGCAATATTACAAGTCATTTTCAAAATTTTATTATTAAACCTTTTTTTATTATACCTATTATTGAATTTACTAATTTATACAAATATAATTATATTGATTGAAAAACAAATTCACTTATTAGTAAATAGACTATAAATTTATGGATATTATTCAACTAAAAGTTAATTTTGTTATTAATTTTTTGCTATACGTATGTATTATGAAAATAAATATAATAATTACAGAAATATATTTACAAATTGATTCACTTTTATTAGTCATATGAATATTAAATTTAGTTGAGGATCTCGTGTTGAATTTGGCTGCAAATCAAAAAATATATTAATATTGTACACAAAATATTGTTTTTTTTTAAATTTTTATTTTATGTAAAATTCTCAAATAAGAATAGATTTATTACTTTCTTAAAACAATATAAAAAATATATAATTTTATTAAATTATACCAAAAAACATTTGATTTGCTTATATAATAATTTTTTTAGATGTGTTGCCAAATTAAAAATATTCACTAAACTTCAAATCCATTAAATTGAATACTAAATACTGTTTTAATTGATAAGTTTATTAAAATTTATACAATACCCGGTACTATAGTACTATAATTAATTTTTATATAAAAACCAGCTGAGAATGCTTTAAAAGCATTTCCACACGAATTCCTTAACTTAAAAAGGAAAAAAAAATTTTAAAAATAAAAAAACAAGTTGAGAATGCTTCAAAAGCATTCTCATACGATCTCCTTAACTTAAAAAAGAAAAAAACCAAAAAAAATCAAAAAAAATTTTGTAGCTGAGCCTGGATTCGAACCTATGTCCTCGTGGGACAGACAGACAGACGGACAGACGGACAGACTTTTAGAATGCATATACGTATTCCTTTCAGGAATTCGTGAATATTGCATTGTATTATTATTATTACTACTACTACTACTACTACTACTACTACTACTACTACTACTACTACTACTACTACTAAAACTATTAACAACTATTATAGCTTTTAAATAAAATTATATAATATTAGATACTTAAGATAATATTAATATTATACGTAAAAAAATTTCTAAAGATATGAGTTACTATGTATACCACCGTATAATCAAATATATTATTGAATAATTGTAACTGTGGTGCAAAACTGTAGTCAAACTGTTAGTCTAAAATAAATACATTATTTAAATATACTAATCGTCAAAAACAAAATAAACAAATTATATTAATAGTTTTATAGACACATGTATGTTATGTTACAATATAATTGATTTACATTATATAAAACTATACACAGAGTTAGTATATATTGAAAAATTTATTACACAATATATACATACAGACACACACACACACACACACACACACACACAAAACTACTGATAAATTTGATGGGACAGGTATTGGTGTCACCACCTAAACACATAAAATTATATACTTATACACTACACTGCAATGCAATATTAATACATTAGTAAAACTTTAATTATATACAATAACAGTAGAGTAATATATGAAAAATTCATCAATCAATAGCTCCAGTATACTAACAACACCTTATAAGTACTTTATATAAAAATATTTTTGTAAGTTTATCATATAAATTATTGTTTGCAATAATTGCAACTCATATTTATTTAATTATAATTATATATACTGTACTCTGTGTGAAATAGACACAAATGTTATTATTAATATATCCGAGTGGAGGCAATACTGTGGGGTAATGTATGTGTGTTTTTATTTGACGTAAATTTTCTAATACCAGTGCTCTCTCTCTCTCTCTCTCTCTCTCTCTCTCTCTCTAATCATGCGATCAAATTGGCATTCAGTTCACACAATTCAATGAAGTGCTAACAACTATAATACACACACAGAGAGTGATAGTCTTTTAAGTAAAATCTATGAGAACTCTGTGTCTGAAGTTTATCACTGATAATAATAAACAATAAAAAAAATATAATTTAATTATAAGAAATAAGAAATATTTTTCGCAAATTATAAAAATGAAAATTCAATAATATTTTATTTTGATAAAAAAAATCCAAACAAAAATTATTGAATTGTTACCAACAAAAAAAACTTTTATAGTGATTTAAAAAGTTTTTGTTGTAATAATAATAATGTGATGAAAAAGTTTTTATAATAATAATAATATCTATGAATTTTTTTTAATACAAGAATTTGTGTTGAGATAAAAAAAAATTTGTTTGCTCTCAATTATATCTATACATATGTTTTGCGATAAGACATAATAAAAAAAAATTTATTATTATTTTCAATTATAAAAAAGTATTATTTTCATTGAATAAAAAAATCAATTGTTTACAAGACATGTATTGTTCACAATCTTCGCAATATTTGTCGCCAAAAGACGATACAATATATTCAGTGTCCTATTGTTTGGTCGATACGGTCACTATAGCGGCCAATATCTTAGTGGTCGCTATTATTGTTGTCTATCTATTGGTTAAACGGAAAAAATTTTCATGTTTTTCATCGACAACTAAAAATAATTTGAAAACTTTAGCAAACAATTCATCGCCCATTAGATTGCTTAATGAAAGTTCATTATATAATCACAATAATCATTATAGTAATCATAATAATAGTAATAATAATTTAAATAATTTACTAAAAAGTAAAACTGGCAAATATTTAAACTGTTATTTAAGCAAATTTTATAACTCATTTATCGAGAAAATAGTTAAACAAATTTCATTGTATTTAATTTTGTTCATCAATTTTGTGCTCATCTTAGAGTTGATACTCATTTGGCATTTATTTAGCCATTTCTTTGCCATTGATTTCATAGCTATATTGTCGACACTACTGTCCTCAACGATAGCACTGACAACAGTTGGCAAACAATTGAATAGCAAAATCAAAAGCAAACCAATTTTTATTAAACTTTTGTTGGCATCGCTTTGGTTTTGCCTACAAATTTCATCCCTAAGCAAATGTGTCATCACTGCCACTAACAATAGTGATCATTATTGGCAATTAATGAGAGTTTATATTTATTTTATATTATTTATTGTCTACTCATTATTGGTATTCATTGAATTGGCTATACTTTTCAAACCGGTAATTATGATTTTTAAGTTTTATTATTGATTTTTTTTATTGATATTAATTGATTATTACTATTTTAAATATTAATACTGCTATGTTATACATGTTATTATTTGCAATTTTTTTGTTTTTAAAATAATTTTGTTTTTATTAATCTAAGTATAATTAAGTTAAGTCATTTAATAAGTTATTATATAATTTTCTATTTTTATATATTATATTATATTTTATTATATTGTTTACTGTAATACAAAATTATCCGGGTTATGATGTTATGATGTATTATTGCATAAACTAACTTGTTTGTGTTATTTTTAGTTAATTTTTATATTAAAAAACATAATAAATGAGCTATTGTTGATTATTGATTAAAATCATAATTGTTATTTTTGCTTAATAACTAATAGATTTTTAAATTGCATAAATTAAATTTTTTAAAAATAAAAATTGCAAAATTTTATAGAAATATTTAATATCTATTATAGGTATACAATATATATAAATTGATTGATTATGTATGCTCAATTGATAATTAGCATATTTTTTTAAAAAATGATTATTATTGTTAACATTGCGTTACTTAAGTTATTCAAAAAATAATTTATTTTAAAATATTTCTCTCTCTCTCTCTCTCTCTCTCTCTCTCTCTCTCTCTCTCTCTCTCTCTCTCTCTCACTCACTCATTATTATTATTATTATGCATAAAATAAAAATAATTACATATAAATATATAAAGTATACTATACTATAGACTATACTAATATTTCAATTTTTGATATTACATTATGCAATGCATTGTAATCGGGAAGAAATAATAAAAATATATATTTATATTATAAATAAAAATTAATAATATTTTTTTTAATCTTTTTGTGTCTGTCCAACATAAGTTGCAATTAATTATTATATTATGACATTTTAAGTGCATATGTTTTTCAATGACAACGATAGTACAGTAAATGATTGCATCACTAATTGCAACAATAAATACTAAAGTCTCAGACAAACAGTGATTGAACCAAAAAATAAAATAATAAATATATATATTTAATAATAATAATAAAAAATAAATAAATAAAATGATATGTTTGTAGGAAATTACAGGTAAATGATTTTTTTCTTCTAAATCATTGTTTTCAACTGTCAATTATCTCTCTAAATGATTTGCTCCTAATATCTATTAGCAATAAAAAAAATTAATATTATTATAAATATTATATTATTGGAAATTTGCATAAATATTAGCAAAAAAATTTTTTTAGTATAGTACACCATAATAATAATAACAATAACAAAAAAAATAAATGTCCTTCAATAATATCAAAGTAATAATATCTAAATATGCAATAAAATGAAAAACAAAATAAATAAAATAATAATAATTATAATTCAATTATGATAGTCTACGGTATTTTTTTTTATTATAATTCATATGAATATTATTAATATTAATTGTGGGTTATAATTCCTATTATTATTATTTATATTATTTATAGGGTGTTTATTATTTTTGTTTTTAATTATAATAATAAATATTCAATTAATTTACATTTTGAAAGTGTTGACTAATAAAATAAATAAAAAATCAATTGCATCTATTAGTCAGAGATTTAGTAATTGTAATTAAAACTATTATATCTTATTATTTGAAGTGATAAACTAATTGAAATAATTTTTTTTAATAAACAATTAATAAACAATTATTTTGTTATTAATGATTATAATAGTTGATTGTACTTTAAATTTTTAGCATTGATTGTAATGTTAAATTTATGAATACAAAACAATTTTTATAAAAATAAAAATTAGTTATGATATTAAAGTAAAACATATGACTTTAGATAATTATAAAAAATTATTTACTAAAAATTCGTTTTTTTGTTATTATAATTAATATTTAAGTTCAAACTAAGATATATAATAATTTTTTTCAATATTTCTAAACACTTTATTTTTAACTAATTAATTATGTAATTGTTTATCTTATATTTTATATAAATTATCATTTAATATATTTTACACCAATTAAATTTATTTTATACACTAATAATATTATACATTTATGTAATTGTTTAGTTAGAGAAATCAAAATTTATTATAAAAATTATAATAAATTATAAAATATAGAGGAAATAGCAATTATTACTAATTTTTTTATAATTATACAATTAATTTTCAGTTAATTTATTATGATTTTTTTTTTAAAATGGATAATATTTCAAAATATCAGTATTATAATAAACAAATATAGTATAATTATTTTAAATACATAATAATTTTTATCATTTATTAAGTTTAAAATAAAAATATTTTATTGATACTGATAAATATTAATTTAAGTAATATAAAAATAATTGTAACATGTATATTATTTTTAATTTTAAGCATCATCATTGCGCTTAATAAGTATTTTTAGTACAATATGAGATCATTTTGTACAGTGATTTGTTATTATCAAATAAAACATTTATAAAATAAATAATTGTTTATATAATGTATTTTAGTTTTGTATTTATATAGATTCAAATTACATACACATAAATAAATGCCGACAACTAATAAATTATCAATCATTTAACTTATCATTTCATGTTTTTATCATTAAATTTTTTTTTCAATAATTTGTTTATTTATTTTAATGATTTGTACTTATTTAATGTTTAATGTTATTTGTTGAAAAAAATACTGTAGACATTTCATATACTATAGTCTTATAAGTCAAATAAAAAAATAATATACTTTAAATGTACGGGAAATTAATTATAATATATTATATAATAATTATAATAATTTATGAAACTATTGATTATATACTTTCTGAGAATATTTATAATAAAAAAATTCAATTTATATTATAAATTTCAAACTAAAAAATACTTTTTTTTTATAATTTTAGGTTATGATTAGTCTATACTTTACTTTAATGGTTTTTTTAAAATAAAAAGTTTTATTTGAATATATTTAATAAAATTTGTAATACTTATAACTATTATACTCTTTATTATTATTATTATTATTTATTCTCAATACACTCTGATAATTAAATGGGAAAATCCCATTTGAAAAACATTTTTTTTATTTTAATCACTTTTTAAAGGTAATAATAAATTGTTATTTTTTAAAGATATTCAATACTTATAGTATTAGTTAATGTATGATATTTTAGTCGATTATCTAAATTATTGAAATTCCAATGTATTAGTTAAGTTCCGATTGCAATATAAATAATGTATTGATATTACTATTAAAACTATTTGACTTATTCAATGATATGTCATTTATCAAAAATATATATTTCATTGTTTATTGAAACTATACAATCATTAGATAAAAATAAGCTTATAGTTATAGATTTTTGTTGTTGTTGAATAACCTAAATAATAATAAAAAAAATTTAAAATATGATAATTAAGTAATGATTTTATATATATATATATTTATAATATTTCTTGTGAAAAAATATATTTATATAATTATTCTTACAAAATTATTTATTTTTCTTACTCATAAAAAAATAATCGATGAATACTATTATTCATTAAATTATATAACATATAAAATATAAAACTTCAAAAAGTTTATATTTTAAACATATGGTTTTTTGTACCTAACAACGTATGAATTATTGATTTAATTTTATCACAAAAAAAGTTTCTATTCAATTATCATTCAAATATTTAAAACATTAAAACAAAACTGTTATTATAGAGAGAGAGATAGAGGATTGAATTTGTTGTTTTTTTTAGTAAATAATTATTTGCTGTAAAAAATCTTAATTGTTTAATACCATAGCTTAATAATTATTGACATATAATTTGATGTTTTAATCACTTGAAAAGTACAGTCTATTTGAACAATGGTTTGTACTGAATGTCTGTGTTTTTTGTTTTGTTATTTTATTATTATTAAAAGATTATTACAAATATTTCTAGTATTTTTAGTAATTATGTTGTTTTCATAATTATTGCATTTTATAAAATTGTTACTTAAATTTATTATATATAAGTCATCTTTTATTTTTTTACAAAAAAAATTATTTTATGAGTTCAAACAATACTATTTTTATAACTCTATATTAGATTAAGAAAATATTTACATTTAAACAAAATGTGTGCCTATATATCCTGGTTGTGTTTATTTTTGTTTTACAAGATTGTTATGTCAATCAATAAGAGAGAGAGAGAGAGAGAGAGAGAGAGAGAGAGAGAGAGAGAGAGAGAGAATTTATTTAATGATAGATATTTAACTAATTACAACAAAAATGTTTAATAAGTTATAATAAATTTTAAATACAAATATTTTTAAAATGTGTGAAATTTAGTTTCCATTCAAAATTATAATGATATTTACAGAACACTACTAAACATTTTATTTTATTATTTTTTTTGCTGACTATTTGTTATATTTTTCATTCATTTAATATTATTAGTTATCATTTGTTGTATACATTAATAGAGTGTTAGCATAAAAATTGTTTTTACAAAAGTGATAACATCATTGTGTAGACACAAAAAAAAGTTTACTTAATAACTATTATAAAACAAACATTTAAATAAATACAATGTTTGAATAAAACAAACAAACAAAATAGAAATATTGTCACATAAGTATTTATTTAATAGTTATTTACATAAATCCTAATTATGTCTTAACCCTAATTATTATGAATAAAATAATAAATTATTATTTTATTTTTGAATTAACTATATTTGTTATTTTAACTTATAATTTGTATTAATATTACAATAAAAGATATAGATTTTTTTCTATATGAATAATACTATATGAATAGTATATATTGAGAATTTTTTTTTGATTATATTTAAATTAAACTATTTTCAAAACCTATTTTTTAAAAAATAGTGTTTCAAACGACCAGAATATGTGCCGACCATTGAACTCGAGGACACAGTCAATATAGCCGATATAACTGGACATCAAACCAAACAAATAAAATATTTACGAAATTATAGTTCAATTATATCGAAAGCCACGTTTAGTTGGTTTTTGCCGATACTTAAAATAGGTTACCGTAGGCCACTGGAACTGGATGACCTGGGACAGTTGCCTAATGTTAGTTATATATATATGCATTTTTTAATATATTGTTAAACCATAAACTATATTAAAATGTGATTTTATATTATAATTATTATTATTGTCTATATATAGAGAGAGACATCTGAATATCAATTCATTAGATTTATTAAATCACTTCCGGATAGAAAGGTTTGTAATAAAAAATATAAACAAAAATTTTGGTTTTTGATTATCGATTTTTAATATATAAACGAAAAATTATTAACAAAAAAAATAAAACTGACAGAACTGTAGCCCATCTCAACTATGGCTATGCTATTGGAAAACCTATTGGAGTTCACTAGCAGTGGGCGCCCTCATCAAGATAGGGGCCGATCTGTTTGGACTGTTTGGTCCGCTTTCTATCGATTATATACTAACCTATGTAAACAAAACACAGTCAATGATTGCCGACAATTATCCGGACATTGATCACCAGCCGGACTACTATTGTCTGAAATGGTCACAGTTTTTGACCAACGGCTACATCATTGCACTGATAGTATTGTTGGCCACACTCTTGCAGTCGACGTTTTCAAACAATTTCAATCATTTGGTTAACGCCGAAGGCATTCATCTCAAGACAGCTCTCAATGTAAGCCAACAACAAATAAATAATAATAAATAATATTTTAATAGATATTTGATGTCGGCTTTTAAGGGTTTCAATGAACTAAAATAAAATGTCATTATAATTGTTGTAACAATAATAATAATAATACTTTATTTGTATATAACAATATATAATTTATTATTGTTTAATTAAATATTTGAACAATTATTTAGTTTTTTATTTTATTTGATCAAGTTAGATATTATATAATATTAAATTGCTCTAATTTTTATGATGTTTTTTTTTAAAAAAGTAAGTATATTATACTTGTAGTTTTATGATGTTTTATGTAGTATAAGTTATTAGGGATTATGAGATAAAATACTAGCAATTATTATTATTATAACAAGTTATGTAATAAATTGTTTGCTTTATAATGTATACTTATTTTTTTGTTTAGTGTCTCGTTTACGATAAGACCCTTAGGATGACAGTTCAATCGGGCATTGATATCGGATCTATTGTCAACCATATGTCTATTGACTCATACAATATGTTTATGGTATGGCATTAGTTATTATAGTATTGTTTATTGTTTTTTATTAATTAATTTTATTGGATTAACCTTTTTTTTGTTATTTTATTTTCTATGTCCCATAAAATTGTTTTTATGCGTCTAATAGCTGTTATCAATGGGACACTATTTATGGGCCGTTCCTCTGAAAGTAAGATAATGTTGTTGTTGTTGTTACAAACTTATGAAACATTTTAATAAATCATAAAAAAATTATATCTACTATTAGATAAAGCAAACAAATTTAAGCATAATTTTATATATCAATTTTGTTCAAGTACAAATAATTCAAATTGTTTTCAAATATGTTATAAATCATAAATATAACAATGTATTCAAACACACACACATATAATACTGTTAAAGTACACATTATAAATTAATTTAATCACCTAATTATAGTTGTTAAACATATTGTACATACACACATACATACATACAAACAAACAAAAATCATAATTTTATTTTTTTCTAATATAATAACTAATTGTTGTCTATCTTTTTTTATATATTGATTTTTTTGCAGATACTATTACTATTGTATCTAATGTATTGTCAATTAGGTTACAGTGCTCTGATAGGTGCGGCCACTATCTTTGTATTGGCACCACTTCAATATTTTATATCAACAAATTTATCAAAAATACAAGAACAAGAAATGGTATATAAATTATATTATATTATAATTATTATATATATATAAATATATATAAATTTATCAATATATATATATATATATCAATTATAAAAAATTATTAAGTATTGATATAATTCCTATTATTATTATTATTATTACTGGTGGCTTAAAATAGTTTGCATATCTAACGATTAAATTGTGTAATACTATTAAAACAAAATAATTTCAAGCACAATTTGCACAAACAAAATAACATAATAATGATAAAATTAATTTTATTTTTTTTAATAAATCCTTAATTTCATAATCGCATAGACACACTATAAGGCAATTATTGCATAATTAAGATAATTAATTATTTTATTTATTATTCAATATAAATATTATATTATATTGCACACGACTCGACATTGTATTTATTTATATTTTTAATCTACAATATCATTAACTTATAAAATATTGATTATAATAATATATCACAAATACTTCCTAAACTAACTAACATAACCTATTGATAATTATTTTTCTCTATACTATATTTTATACTATTTTGATATTGATTATATTATAAAAATTATAATATATTTATATTAATGAATTATTTTTTTCTAATAACTGATAATATGTTTTTCCGATAATCTAAATGAGTAAAATTACAGTTTTAAAAATTTTTATTACCCTAAAATATTAATTTTAGAAACTGTATTAAATAAATTGTCTAATATTTTTTATGTTTATTAATATTTATTATTACTATAAATCATAGTGAATAGTATAAAAACAGAATTTATTATTATTATATATATATTATTATATTTTGTTAATTCTTCTATATATAATTTATGAAAATAATTACAACATATTTTTACAATATTTTTTTGTATGTTATATCACTAGTATATACACTGTATATTATACAGTATAAATATATATAATATATATAATAGATATAATTACGAGTTTTAAAGTTTATAATTTTTATACAATAATTCTGATTGTCTGAAAAAATAATATTAAATGTAAAGGTCTTGTCCGAGAATTGTCAAATATTTATAGATTTTATTGAAACTTTAACATAACATTAAAGAAAGTAAAAAAAACTTTTAAATGATATAATAATTATTTTATTCAGATAATAGGTAATAAAGTTATTTAAGTTTTAGTATTAAACTTCAACTTCTCATAACATTTTAATTACAAATGACATTTAAAACATTATTTCAATATAATTACAATAATATTTTTAATTTAGTAAATTACTATATATACAGTATATATATAAATATTATTTTTTCATTTTTATGTCATTTTTATCATAATTATATTATTTATTTTTGTATATGAATAAAAACTTACTTTATTTAAATGTAATTTATATGTCATAATTTGGTCACTACTGTATAATATTTAATATCCTTAACATTATATTTCAATGTCTTTTCCGGACAAGTCCTTTAAATTAAAAAAATATAACAATTTTTGTTTTATAAGGATATTGCCGACGAAAGGATCCGAAAAACAACTGAACTATTTATGGGAATAAAATTCCTGAAACTATTGGGTTGGGAGTCATGTTTTGCCGACGCCGTCAACAAAATCAGAAATAAAGAGCTCAGTGTCCTTAAAAAGGATGCCATTTATGTGGCACTTAATAGTAAAAACTTTTTATTTTATAATTTACTTAAAATTAACTATTTATTTATTTTTCATAAAAAGCATTTATAACACAAGGATCAGCTATAGTGGTAACTTTGGTCACATTTGCCATCTATCCTTATATAGAGGGCAAACCATTGTCTGCATCGCATGTATTCACTGGACTGGCATTGTTTAATCAGCTAACTGTTCCACTATATATTATTCCAGTTGTAAGCATATATAACATATATATATACCTGTCCTCTGAAATCTGTTAAAAAATAATTAGCATTTAATTAATTATTTTTCATAATAATAGGTAATACCGATAATGATTAGTGCAGTTATCAGTACTAAACGATTGGCTAATTTCTTGTCGATACCGGAAGTGGATCCGAGTATTCCGTGGCGAACCAAGACTACGACATTGCAGAGACGTACTAATGATCTAATAAACGATGAATATTATGTAAAAAATGAGACCAAATCCAGTTTCGATGGCAATGCCGGTCAACCGATCATCAATAGTAATACTATTATTACTACTAATAATAATGTCAACAATGATATGCCGGTAATCAAACCCAAGACAAGAGTCAAGAAGAAAAGTTCGTCCAACTCTGTTGGCGCCACCGATGAAGTCTGTTGTCGTATTGTTAACGGCTGTTTCACTTGGAGTCTGGACAACAACGACGATAAAAACGCCGACATCGACTGCATGTGTCAACAATATGTGCTAAACAATATCAATATAGCCATACCTAAAGACAAACTGACGCTTATTGTGGGACCGGTCGGAAGCGGCAAGTCGTCACTGTTGGCCGCCATTACCGGCGAAATGATACGCATCAGCGGCGAAGTCAATTGGTGTCAATTGAATACGTTTATCGGTTATGTCGGCCAAAATCCGTGGCTAATAAATACGTCGCTTCAGGAGAACATTACTTTCGGATCGCCGTTACTACATAAGCGCTACAATAAAGTTCTCAAAGCCTGTGCACTCGAGACAGACATCAAAATACTACCGAATGGCGACCAGACAGAGATCGGCGAACGCGGAATCAATTTGTCCGGCGGTCAAAAAGATCGGATCGGATTGGCCAGAGCTCTGTACTCGTACGCCAATACACTCATATTGGATGACACACTGTCAGCGTTGGATCCGATTGTGGGAAATCATATCTTTGAATACGCTATTAAAGTAATTTGATATAAAAAAAAATTATGATTTTATATACAATTTATTTATTTTTTGTTTTGTTATTTAAAGAAACTAATGTTACAACAAAAACGTACGGTAATTATGGTAACCAATAAACTCGAGTACATACCGAAGGCCAACCATATTATAGTGTTAGAATCGGGCGGAACCATCAAACATTCGGCCAGTTATGCCGAAATCGAGCGGTTAGATCCAAGTTTAACCGATTACTGGACCAAAGCTCGTAATAAAGAGGAAGAGATGCGCCGAAAGGTGACCATCGAAGAGTGCGGAACAACCAAAGAACGGAAATCATTGGTCAGAATGTTGTCGTCCAATAAGATTGGATGTCGCGGATCATTTCAGATGCCATCGGCTAAACCTAAAAAACCGAAACGACGACAAGTGTCGTTCAATCGGTAAGTCTATTGAATAGTTATCACTAAATAGATTTGTTTTCATTAAATATCTGTTATATTTCTAAAGACAATTAAGTCACGATCCGTCGGGTCCGCTGCCGTGTCACGACTGGACCGACAATGACGACCCAACGATAGTCGGCTCACACATTGAAGAATCGGTGGTCAACCGGTCGTCGACACCATTCAGGCGAATGCATTCCAAAGATTCAATGGACTCGAAGTCAAGTTATGGCAATTCGTCTCATTTGTCGACAAGTGCCGAATCAGGTGGCTATATCTGGATGAGACCGCAGATGAATCGGTTGAACTCAACGACATCGAGAGTCTCATATACTTCGATTCGTGAAGTCGACGAAGAAGAGGAAGAAGAAGAAGAGCTCGACATCGGCGCTGAATACGAAAGAAACGATCAGAAGAATGACGACTCAGAATCTGATGATGAGATCAAACTGAATGACGATGTCTTTGAAGAGCTCAAACGTAAACATTCAAACGGAAGGACATCCAGTGTGGCCACTATGCGACTGATGAGTAACGAAAAACGAGAGACCGGATCCATATCGAAGAAAGTCTACTATTCCTACTTCAAGAAGTGTTCAATTTGGCTGTCGCTGACATGTCTTTTACTTATAATCTCAACGCAAGGCTTTAAAGTAGTTTCCGACTTTTGGTTGGCTCAGTGGTCAAAGTCGGACGTCTCTCTGGCCAATGATTACAGTCAGCTTCAGTATTACATAAAAGGCTACGCATTGCTATCGTTGATCACAATAGTCATATCGCTTATGGCTAACCTGTTGTCTCAGTTGACATCGTTACGAGCGGTCAGACTTCTTCACTCGGAAATGCTCGACAATATCATCCGATGTCCGCTTCGGTTCTTCGATGTCACGCCATTCGGACGTATTATCAACAGGTTTTCCAACGACATGAATACCATCGATAAGGTTTGTGTAAAGATTTTTTTTCGGGTGATAATAGACCCATAGATTTGTTAATTTTGGTTAACCCCCTAAAAAATGTCTTTTACTTCTCACAGAAACTTCCGATAACGCTTCCAGTGTTACTTCGTTTTGTATTCCTCTGTGTGTCGGCCATAATCGTCGACATCATAATCACGCCGTACTTTTCGATAGCCATAATACCGATACTCATACTCTACTATTTTGTTCAACACTTTTTCCGCTTTACGTCCCGTGAATTGCAACGGTTGGACTCAATCACTAAATCGCCAATATTTTCGCTGTACAGCCAAACCATCGACGGTTTGGCCACACTTCGGGCATTCAATGAAGAAATTAGTTTTACAGATAAGATCTACGAACTGTTGGACATCAATAATATATGCTTTTTGATGGTCAATGCGGCCAACTGTTGGTTAGGTATTGGATAATAAAAAGCTTATTAATTAATTGTTTAATAGTTATCAATAATAATAATAATAAATATTATATACCGGTATATAGGCATAGCATTGGACTATTTAGGAGGTGTTATATTGTTTTGCGCTACGATTGCCTCAATCTGGACGGCCATACATTTGAATATGAGTCCGGCTTATGTGGGAATGGCTATGACCTATACACTACTGGTGCCCATATATCTCAATTGGGTGGTCAGGAATGTGGCCTCAGTTGAAATGTATATGAATTCTGTCGAAAGAGTTACCGAATTCTCTCAGTTGGAAACTGAAGACCAATTGGCTGATCCAGTCTTAAGTATGTATTTTTTGGTCAACCAGTTGTTTATCTAAATAAAACAAACAAAACCTTTCATATCGTTGTTGTTGTTGTTTCAGTACAAGTATCAGAGGAATGGCCTAAAAGAGGTGAAATCAAGTTTATTGACGTTAATCTCAAATACGATTCAAACGTCGATACTGTTATCAGAGGCGCAAACTTTCACATAAAAGCTGGAGAAAAGGTTTTTTTTAAAAATTAATTAATTTTTAAAAAAAATTATTATTATTTATACTAAAAATAATTAAAATTATATATTAGGTCGGAATATGTGGTCGCACTGGTTGTGGCAAATCATCGCTAATTAATGCATTGTTTCGATTGAATAACATAACAAACGGTAAGATACTTATCGATGGTATAGACATCGCAAACGATGTGACCACTAGTGTACTCAGGAGTAGACTGTCGGTCATACCTCAAGATGTGGTCCTATTTTCGGGAACAATTCGGTAATTTTTATTATTTATTTTTATTATTTTTTAAATGACTCAACAAAACTAATGATATGATGAACACAATAGCGAGAACTTGGATCCCAACAATCAACTAACTGATCAACAAATTTGGACAGTTTTGAGACAATTGAATCTAAATAAGAGCATTGAATCTTTGGACGACGTTATCACTGAAGAGGGTCTAAATCTGAGTACAGGTCAGCGACAGTTGCTTTGTATAGCCCGAGCGCTTCTTCGCGAGTCAACTATTCTGGTGATGGATGAGTCCACCTCTTCGCTGGACGAAGAGTCCGAACATTTGGTATTGGATCTGATTAGGCAAACAAACAAAACAGTTATATCAATAGCACATAAACTATCGACAATCTTGGACTACGATAAGATTATTGTTGTCGATAAGGGGGTTATCAGCGAAATTGGTTCACCAAAAGAGTTAATCAATAGAAAAGATTCGCTGTTTAATACACTTTTGTTCAAACAATTCAAAGCAGTTATCTTGAATGGCGTCTAATTTAATGTCAGATTAATTAAAAATAATAATAATAATAATAATTAATATATAAATTTAATTTTTTTATCAAATATATATTATATATTTAATATATATCAATATAAAAATTAGATTGCATTGCATTTAAATTTTAAAAGCAATATCTCAGATAAATTACATAATAGTACTAATAATACTGTATGTATAAAAAAAATAATTATTTATAAAAATGTTTTTTACAATTTTTATTTTATATTCATATTGAAGTCATATGTAATTAATTAACATTAATTATTGTAATTTAAATTATATTTGTAATTGACAATGTCTAAAATCATAATATTATTTTTTGTTTATATAATTAAATTTTTAGATGTTATACTTTATTTATTAATTGATATCATAAATAATTAATTATTTGTGTACTATTAGATGATAATTAATTTTATGTCTTTTTAGATGTAATTAATATTATTGCATTAATTATAATGTTTTTTTAACTAAATGTATATAAATTTATAAGTTTTAGTTATATTTTATCACAAATTATGTTAATGTATTAATTTATTTAATTTTTTTATAATATTAAGATATCTATTATATATATCTCATAAATTAGATTAAGTCATTGTTTTAAATGACATTATAAATAATTTTTAATCTTAATATAAATGTTATTAATAAATAAATAAAATAAAATTGAAACTTATTATACCATTAATTTCTAGTATTAAATTATTTGTCATATGATGTTATCATTTAATTACATAATAATATCAATAGTAATGTATACTATACTGTATATGAAAAAATTTAATTAAAGTTTATGATACGATTTACTGTAAGTTTGCTATAATACAATAATAGATGATCAATAAGGGTAAGTGTATCAATAATATTTTTTTTAATAATAATATTATATATAGATTTTTTTTATTATTATTATTATTATTAAATTAATTAAATTATTATATTATATAAAAAATTATTTTAAATAAACTTATATTTTTTATTATTAAAATTAAATTCAAAATTGATTTATTAAATATTATATATGATATATTATATTGTATATGATATGAATTGTGATGCGGTCACCCCTTGGCTATATTAGATTAACTATAATAATGTTTACTAAACGGTCATACAATATATAAATATATATGTAGTATATATGGTCTAATATAAAGTATATTTATAGTTATTACACTAACCATAATATAATATTTTCCTATTTTATCATATCATTATTATTTAGTCTCTGAATGCTTAACATCCAAAAAATATTCAATATTTTTTTTAACCAGAATTTAATATTGAATATATTTAATTGAATATATATATATATATATAATAATAATATAATTAATAAAATGTGTTTTTAAATAATTTATAACATTTTTTTTTGTTTAATAACAACTAATGTTTCATAAAAAAATGAATTCATTTAATTTTCCATTAAATTACATATTAATACTGTTTGGTTTCAATATAAACTTAAATCAAAATAATAAATGTTTTAAAAAATGCATTTATTTTCTGTTAAGAGTTAAAACTATTTTAATAATGTCTTTCTTTATTCATCGATCATTCGGTGAGATCGGCGATAAAAATGATATCAAAAAAAACTTATACAACATATCATATCATATAAAATCGATTATTATATTAATCAGTTTTATTAATTTTATGATAAAATTTCACAAAATTAACATTTTATACGAAAAAATTGGCAGAAAATTATGTGAATACAAACGAAAAAAGTTGCGACTATTTAGCATTCAATTGAGTGTTTTGTTAATCGTATTTTACATCATTAAAATTATCGGTAATGTATGGACAAAATGGCCATACTCGGTGGCCATATTGTGGACAACCTATTGTTCCGGTTGGCTAGTTGTCTCACTCATACTATTACTACATATATGTTACGGCATACATGTGATGGAAGAGAAACTGTTTGATAGGTCGATGACTACCAGTTTTGTTGGAGTCGGCGGCGCCGGTGACCAGCATGTGATCCGTGGGTTTAGTTTTGTTGATTTGCGACAAAAAATCTATTTTATTAACAAATTGAAACAAACATTCAACGATGAACTGGGTTTTCTACCATTTCTATGGCTAACCGAACTGTTTGTGTCGACCTGTTTGCGTCTAACTTATCTGGCGGTCAACAAAACAGTTAGCAAACTAGTCGAGTGTACCCTCGAGTATCTATTGCTATCGATATTTAATTTGATATTCATTTACTCCATACACTATTGGCAATCGTTGAGACCCACCGACAATGATCTGTTAAATTTAGTTTGCAATGATAGCCATTGTTTTACTGTAGGCGACGATACCCTTAAGTTAGTGTTAATACAAAAATGTATTCAATGTTATGGTAAAAGTCGGTACAAAGTATGGAATGCCTTTAACATAGATAAGCGATTTGTGTTCACATTTCTCGGATCTGTCGTTCCCTTTACTGTTATGTTAATACAATTGTTACAAACACAGGCCTAACAAACACACAAACAAACAAACAAATTAGTGTATTTTAAATTTAATTTACATATAATAATATCATTTTATTTAATAATTAATTTTTTTATTTTTTTTTTGTTATTTGTGTAATACTATTTAGTTTAGTTTTAGGATAATTTAATTTTAGTATAAATAATCGGAAGTTAGTTACGTGATCAAAACAATTTTTTTTTGGTTTTTATAAGTTAATAATTTATTTATGTATATAATTTTTTTCTTACTAATATAACTTAAATTATTTGTATTATTCAATATAAATTTATGATATACTGTATAAGTTTATATATAAATATATATATAATATTAAATATATTAGTGTATACTGTATTACAATTTCTTTTTGTTGTTATGAATAAATAATTTAACATAAACATTGTTATATATTATTTTTAATATATATAGGTATTTCTAGATTATACAGTATTATTATTATTATTATTATTATTAGAATTTATTTAAAATATATTTTCAAATTACATGTAAGAATAAAAATAGTATTATAGTTAATAAATTAAATAAATATTATGTATGTTTGATGTAAAGCTTTAGGTTTTAATTGGTCACTAAATTAACTGTAAATTATGTTTTTTCAAGGAATGTATAATTTTATAAATACACTGTAATCGTGAAAATACACATGAATTAAATTTATAATATAGTACAGTATATGTAGTAATATATTAAATATTAATATTATATATAAATATATATATGAAATGCATTAAACACATATTATAAACAATATATTATTGTTTATTTTGAATTTCATAGACTTTTATAATTAAATTTATTGTATACAATATAAAGTATTATATATATGATATATATAAGTTATTCTACATATTATAATATATGTTTTTCTGTACAGTATATCTAAATATACTGTATATGAATATTGCTTTAATAAATGTGAAAAATTCAAAATTATGTCACAAATAGGGTCGTAATGGGTGTCAAGTATTTTTCATAAGGGTTTAGATAACTAAAAATAGTTTATCCAAAAGTGCACACACAAAATACTTATATAAATGCCCGATTAAGTTGTCCATAAAATCAATATATGCCAACAACAACCCCACCACTCAATGACACTACTCATGTGAATTAAAACTCATGTTTGGAAAATAATATTTTTACAAAAAATAAAATAAAATAAATAATAAAATCAGTTTACACAAACTCAAAGTAAATTAATTAATGTCAACATTGAAAAAAAAACAAATTGTATGAATTAAAAGTAATTAAATGATAGATATACAGTATATGGTATATAATTTACAGTTTATATATATATAATGTATTTTTTTGGTGTTGCTTATCATATAGACTGTCGTATCTGTAAATTGTTGTTAATCGTAGCCAACAGTGTCGGCGTACGTATGGATCGTTGGGATCGCCTATTAGTGAATAGTTGTTTCAATGATAGCCGAAACTTGGCGTTCATCGTAAATATGATGATAGGATTGTATGACGAGTGGCTCATTGCCAGCCAATGACTGCTTATCCATATAATCATAATATACTGGTGTTTCCAGATGTCGGGCATTTTATCGCCGATCAAAATAATTGTATTCAATGGTAGCCAACAAACGGCATACGATAGTACACATAACATCATCATTTTGATCATCTATTTTGATGAATATATATATAATATAATATTTATAATATGTTATAATTAGGTCAAAAATTTTATTTTTGATTATATAACTTATGTGTGCAATAAATATGTTATATTTTTAGAAAAATGCTTTTATGACAAATATTGTTATTATATAATATACTATTATATTATAATAATTTCTAATATAAACTATTTAAATTAATAATTCGCTATTTATATATATATTAGTATACTTTACTGCATAAAATCGTAATTAGAGTAATTAAAATATTTTTAGCCCAATTATAAAATATTAAACTATTAATTATTTCATATATTTTTTTTCTAAATTCTCATATACTGTATAAATAATAAAATTTATATAAACAAATATTATAAATTACAATCTTAAAAAATAGATAATATATTAATTGATTAAAATTTATATATATATATCTAATAAAAATAGATTACGGTAAATATTTTGAATTTATAATTAAAATTTGTAATCTATAAATATTTGCATAAATGTTTTCTCTTAATATTAAAAAATTATATATAGATAATAGATAAATATGTTTCAAAAAATTTTCATTAATAAAACTAACAATAAAATTATCATAAAAACTGCTATTAAAAAAAGTTATAAAAAAAACCTTTCTCTTGGAAGCCCTGATCCTCTGATCTCTTTGGTCTTCAGCTTCTCCGGGGGTTTGTTTGGCAAACAATACGACAGCTATTCTAACATATGTATAGATGAGGACAGTTAGCGGAAATATGTACTGCAATGACATCAATGTCAGCGAATAGTAATAGCGTTTATTGTTATCATTCCAGTCCTCAATACAGGTCATGTGCGGTGAATTGAGATTCATTTTTTTCAGTTTGGACAGTATGGCTGTAGGCAATGGTGTTACCAATGATATGAACCAAATGATCATAATTATCAGTTTTGTATTCATTTCGGTTATTCTTGACTTCAATGGATGCAATATAGCTCTGTATCTGTTATTTATTTATTTAGTTTAGTTTTTTTTTGGTGACAATTAATAATAATAAGAAGATATATATTAATATATTATCAATGATTAACTAACAAACAGAATGTAAAAATTCCCCAAAAAAATAAATAAAATAAAAAATTAGGTTAAACTCATCAAAAAAATAATAATAATAATAAATTATGACAACTTATGTTCAATGATATGGTTTGTTAAACGACTAAAAATAATTTTTTGTGGTTGGTTTGCGTTGCGTAATGTGCTATAATAATAAGTTACTAATAAGCTAGGTTAAAAATATTACACGCTTTTATCGTTAAATTATGCAATTAGTTTGATTTATTAACTTGAAAACTTTTTTTTAGAAATTTAAAATTATTTATTATAAATTTAAGTATCTTTTAAATTTTATTTATTACCTAATAATAATAATAACACCCAATAATAATAATCTATGTGAAAATCTATGTATCATATTTATAAATATAATAATTTCTAAAAAAAAAATTATTTAACATACTTATCAATACTGATAGCAATCAATGTGTAGGCACTGATGAAAACAGTGACCGCTTGTGAATAGCCAACAATGTTACACATGAATGAGCCGAATGGCCAGTAATGAAGCAATAGGTCGGCCACAAATGTCGACGGTATACACAGTGCGGCCATTAGGACATCGCCGACGGCCAGGTTTAGGATGAAAAGGTTGGTTACTGTTTGCATTGGTTTCTCTTTGATCACTATATAAATGATAAATCCATTGCCAAGAATTGCGGCCAACCATATGATTGTATATAATAAATACATAACAACCTAAAAATTATTATTATTATTATTATATATAGATTAATATAACAATTAATTTTTTCCTAACTATATATAAATATTATACAGAATATTCTTTAATTAAAAAATTAATTAATAAAAAAAATTATATTACTTCAAACATTTCGCTAGTTTTAAAAAGATAGTCATTATTATTAACGTTAGGTTGTAGTGAACTAATGTTGACTATTAATTTATTTAATCCGTTTAATGTAATATTATTACTATTATTACTATTATTATTACTATTGTAATTATTTTTAATAATATTATTATTATTAGTATTATGAATATAATCACTTGGTTTGAGATTCAAATACTTAATGTCATTGTTATTATTATCGATGGCATTATTTATAATAATTGTATCAATGCTGGTAGTAGTGGTGCTAATTATTGTTGTAGTAGTAATGCTAAACATTTTACAGAATATAACTATAATAACACTGTAATAACACTTTACATATATCTATATCTATCTATATATCTTAATGAAAACACGAGAAAAAATATGTTTTATGTTAAAAACAGTTTTGTTTTTCAAGACAACATTTTTATAAAAAAAAATTATTTTTAGTACTACAACTGGTAGTAAAATGTTAGATAGAAACCGCACTACAAAAACTTTTATATACAATTTTTCATAATTGATTATTAGTGGATAAAATGCATAACTTTTGTAATGTATTTATGTAATACATTTTATGTATACTAAATACATTATGTATATATATATGATAGACATACATATATATAATACTGTACTATTGGTTCACATAGTTTTCAAAAATAAAGTTTTAAAGAGTGAGTGTTTTTAGTTATATATATATATCGTATATATATTATATAATAACATATATTGTATGCAATCTCTCAACAAAAACATCTTCAGACACCAAACTTATGACTGATTGAATGCACAGCTCGTATACACTGAGAGTAAAGAAGAAAAGAAATATTTGTCTCTAAATATATTTTTATGAAAATCTTTTTTTTATTGATGAGAAAAAAAATCAAATATATCTGTCGTATAATACAACTGTGTATTCAATAGTCTCAATATATATATATATTTCACAATTTAAATTGAAAAAATGTCAACAAAACTTATTTTTATTATTTTTTATTTCAATATATTCATTCAACATGAAAATTCAAATATCATATTAAATTAGATGAAACAAACTATTTAAATGCAAATACTGTACAATGTATGATACAAAATGTATATTATTGTTATTATTATGTACACTGAATACAAAGTATGTAAATTTATTTTTGATAATAAAATTTATACATCTAAATGGACACAAAAAAATGCACAAAAAATAAATGTATTTTTAAAAATACTGAATAAATGTTCTTTTTTTTCTATTATAAAAACAAGATTCAAAAACAATGAAACATATGTTGAGTTTGAAAAATATATACATTTATATAAATTAATTTCTAATAAATTGGATATATATTTATATATAATTGAAACACACATCACATAAACAATTTTTAAAAAAATTAATTAAATTTTTTTATAACATTTTATTAGTAATCAAACAAATAAATATGTTGTATTACAAAACAAAATGTTTTATATTATATATATACAGTATATTGTAGTTTTGTTTGAATTGTTTGCTTATTTACAGATAATTTTATTGTGTGGCCACTAATGATCAATCAGCTACAAGACTAATACAAATAATAAAAATTGCAAAAATACACTGTAATATGACTACAGTATATATATATATATATATTTATTTATTGTACATAATATAATCGTATTTTTTATTTGTATTATTATTATTATTATTCTGTAACTGACTGATTACTAGTGGCGTAAAACAATCAAATTAGATCTCATCCATCCATCCATATATCTATCAATATATATATATAGTATAATATATACGTAAAAATTGCATCTCAATGGCTAAACTTAAGTTTCATACCAAAACAAAAATCCAATAATATTACTATATATTATATATACTGAGATTTAACGTTTTAGTGTTCAATATGACTGACTAACTGACTGTACATTGATAACTACCAGAGCTGTTAGGATACTGTTCCTCCAAATAAGAGCCGTAAGACTGAAACTCGAGTTTATTAATATATATATATAGATATATTTTTTTTGGAAACAACATTTTTCCAAACAATATCTCTAAACAACAGTATTTATTTTATCAATATTTATATACAATATATATATACAGTATATATACGGCATATGATATACCATAACATACTATACCATCTCATAGGCTTAATGTGAAAATCCAGTAAAAAATTATTACTATTAAATAAAAGAAAATAATGATAATATAGACGATGCGATTCCTATATACAGTATATATCTTATATATAAATTTATATTCATTATCAGCTTATTATTATTAACTTTCCAATAGCTAATAGATTTTTCATACCACTGTATATAAGTATCAATACAAGTAATATATATATATATTATATATATATATATTGATTAATTTATTGCTTTGTTAGATACATAATTTTATTTATACTCGAAATAAAAATAATCTAATTACTAATAAATATATATTATTATATACGTATATACTCTTTATTTAACACTGACATTGGATATATAAGATCTCTCTCTCTCTTTCTATATATATATATGAAGTGATGACAAATATCTATTTAAAAGAATATGGATTTATTGAATCAAATTACAGTAAGCAATAACATATGAAATCATTATATGTTTCGTTTCATTAGAAAACAAAACTAACATTTATTTTTGTTTAGTTTGTCTGTATTTTTCTTATATAATGATAATATCTATAAACTATTAGCTGCTAATACAAACACCACTTTCAGTATCTCTTTGGCTAAGAATTTAAGTGATGAATGATATCTAACACTTGCTATCAATTTTTGATATGACTGACAAACAGTTTGTCTATCTTTTAAAGTTTAGTTTTTATAAACTTTTTATATCATTTTTCATCAATTCATACGTAATACAGTATATCTATATATTATTTATATAAACAAAATTTATTATAAATTATTAACATTTATAATAATAATTTATGCATAATAATATATTCATGTATTGCTAAAAAGTTTTTGGGTAGATATAATATTATTAGAATTTTTCCCAATAAAAGTTTCTAGAAATTTATTCAACAAAATTTTATTTCAGCAACTTACAAGTTTGTAAATTTATATAATTTTTTTAAAGTCATAATATTACCAAGTCAATTAAATTATACAATTGTGTATTAGTTTAAAAACCGTTTAATAAAATACTTTAATATTTATATACCCATTAAAATTACCGGTAATTATAATATGACTTTCAATAAACTTACCGTATTTTTCTTTGAAACCTAAACGCTAATCACGTAATCACTGTGTTATTGATTGATAGTTTTGACGTAAATCTCTTAATAATAATAATAATTTTTACTTTAAATAAATTTATTTACATATCAGATTTTTATGATTTTTGTATATTAATAATTAAATCAACTAATATGAATAATAATAATAATTTAAATAAATAAAAAAACTAGTAATGAGTAATTTTCAAGTTTATAAATTAAAAATAACTTAATAATATATTTATGAAATTATTATTATTTTTAGTTACAGTAATTTTATGCAATTTTTTTTATAAGTAAACTTTAAAATGTTATAAAATTTTATATTAAGATTATTATATTTATTAGATGACTAAAGTTTATATGTATTTAAAATATTGCTTGATTAAAATACTATATATATAGTACACTAATTAAATTACCAAGTAAATTAAATAGAAAATAGCAAGTTTTTATTATTACTTTTGTACATAATACTTTTTTTTATACAATTATTTTTATTATTATTTCAAACATAACTATTTATATTATTATTATACAATATATTATTTTTAAAAATTTATAATTAAGTTACATAAAGCTAAAAATAATGGTATAAATAAATGTTAAATAATGTGTCAAACAATTATGAAACTTTTATAAAGTACACTATATAATAATTTTGTAAATTTAAGTACAATATTATAATTTATATAAAATAAAACATGATATACAGTACATACACATAAATAAAGAAGCTAAAATAAATATTTGTAAATATGCTTATTGTAGCTAAAAATATTTTTTGAAAATATTAATCTGAAACTACAAAATAAAATTAAAAAAATAATTATTTAAAAAATATGCAAAATTTGTTAATATTTGTTATCATTAATTACAGATAAGTTTTGTTTGCGGCGGATATTGCGATATAAACTGATGACAAGCACTACGGTTCACTTGCGGACACTCGCGGACATCCAAATGTATGATCGATGGACAGCAACGCAACGATTGTAGACTCATATCCGATATCTTACGACAACCGCTCAGATTGAGTTCCGTCAGGTGTTTGGCTTTAGTGGTGGCCAACCCAGCAATGCCCTAAAAAAATGTTATTACTATTACTATTCATATCAGTACAACATTTATCATCGATACGTACAAAATCGGTAATCTGTCGACAACTGGATATATCGATACGGGTGACAAACGTCAGGTTCTGGGTTATCAATCGTAGCGATTTGTCGGATATATTCAAGCCTTGATATTATGGGTAGCGATATATATATATAATGTTAGAATTAGAGCACAAGTATCCTAAATATAATATTAATAATATAATAATCACCGGAAAGATTTATTTCCTGTATAAATCTGAGACGAGTTTTTGACTCCATAAGTCCGGGTCGGGTGTCATCGGGTGCCGATAACAATCGTTTAATAAAGTCGTCGTCCACGCCCTGACTATGGGATATATCCAAAGATGCCATTAGCGGACAATTGCATGTTATCAGTGCTGATACAGTATATGAGGGACAGCCGGACAGCGACAGTGCTTGAAGATGTGGCAAACGACAGATCAACCAATACAACTGTTTGTTATTAATGTTAGTCCACGAAAGGTTCAAACGGCGCGGTTGTCTCAATACTATTCCTATTAATACGATTTTTGTGATTTTCTTGTGACTCAAATCAAGTTTTGGCCATAATTTTGGGTCAATTGAAAAACCTATAAATGAAATTAATAAAAAAATTTAATTTAAAAATATTGAACTGAATTTGAAAATTATTAAAATTATTATTAAAAAATATCATACCATTCCATTGTTTGCAAACAGTCATACATTTCAGTAAATCGTTTTTCGGCAAAAATCTCATAACTGGTACCATAACATCCCGTTCGAGTGCCAGATTGTCGGCGCGTTTGGCTAAAAATTTACGGAAAAATTTTTGTTTGGCTTTGTTTCTCTCTTTTTTCACATTATTATTAGAATCGTTAGACTCGTCATCCGAATCGGACGATTCTGCCGATTCTTCAGATTCAGATACATCACAACCAAGTGGTGCCGGTCTTACCTAAAAAAAAGATTCGGTAAATAATATGTTTTATTTTTTAAATTAATTATTCAAAACATACGACATATTTTGGTTTAACTATTTCTCTTTTCGGTAATGTCGCCATCAAACTGTTCAAACTGTTATCTAGTGGTTGTTTGTTACCATTCATTTGTTGGACACTAGTAGTAGTTGTTGTTATTATTGGTTCGTCGACTTCTTCATCGGTCGACTCATCGTTGATGTCGTGTTGTTGTTGTTGTTTTACACCAATAGCCGAAAACGAACTCTGTGTGCCCATTGATGACAGTGATGGCGGACCCGATGGACTCATACTGGCGTAAGAAGGACTCGATACTGAATAGCTTGAATTGGATGAACTGGAACTACATTGAGTAAACATTGATTGGCTATTAGTTGACGAACTGTTTGTCGATGAAGAAGACTTGTTGTTAGCTTTCTTTTGGTGACCCAATGAGTTGTTACTGATTCTCGACTGTTCCGATGATTTTTTCAAACCTTTCAAACTCTTGAATAGACGATCTCTTGATGTAACATTTTTCTTTTTTGCACAGTTAGCCAAAGCTGCCAATCCTTTTACTTCAGGTTTATTAGCCATAGAATTATTGTGTTTTCCAACAACAACACTGTTGTTGTTGTTATTATTATTATTAGTCGACGACGGACTAACCATTTGTTGTTGCAATCCTTGACTCAATAGTGGAAAGCGAGCACAAGAGCGGACGTGCGATGAACCGGCAGTTGTCGATCCTTTCGACTGATTGCCCAAATGACTGGAATTATTACTGTTATCCGTGTCATCTGTGACCTCATTGTTATTATTATTCTTATTGAATATCTGTTTTGGTTTACTGTCTTCTTCATCATCATCGGATCCGGGAGGTGATTCTTCAGCCAATAGGCGAATCTTTTTTTCTGGTGGACAATCGCTACCATTTTCCTCACGTTTAGCAGCCGATACAGTACTACTACTACTAGTAGTAGACTTTGATTTTTGATATTTAGTTTGGTTTTTGGAACCACTTTTCACACAACGCGGACACTCCCATGAATTGGGAAGATCTTCATTGATATTAGCTGTTAGACAATAAAATCAATAATAAATCAAACTTTTAAACTAAATAAAACAATAGTTTAAGTAATCATACCATCAGATGCTAAGAGTTGAGGAAATTTTTCGTTCAAACAAAACGGATGGACAATCTCCCAGCATTGGGAACACTCCATCAACGATGAGGCCGTTTCATCGTTGATCGACGGATTTTCTAACTTTTCCCAACCGTCGCGACCGCATATCATACAACAGGCTGTATGTGGCAGTACAGGTGCCAAACACTGGCGGGCAATACACGACTGTTTCATACGTCCTGTAAAATAAAATTCAAAAATTAATTCAAAAAAAAAAACAATTACGATAATTAATAATAGTTTTATTTTCGCACAAAAAAATAACAAAAAAATAACAAATAAATAATACAATACCGGGTCCGCCAAATTTTTTCATATCTTTACAAAAGTGACATTCGCCACAATCGGCTCTCAGACATGAATCACATTTTTTACAGCGAGTGCGCCGTCGACGTGATGAGTCATTGGACGATGACTTTGTATTAGTTCCCGTTGCGGTCGATGCAAACATTTTTTGATTTGTATTATTATTATTATTATTGCTACTATTGATTGGCAGTGATGATAACTGTGTCGATGTGTTGACCATTTTGTTGGCCATAAACGATTCACTTGGTGTTGTGGCCGCCGAATGAAAACCTGACGGCGGAACAGCTGATGGAAACGGTCGTGGAGTAGCAGTAGTAGTGGTCGGCGGTATCGTTTGATTTTGTATCAGTGTCTGCGTATCGACCGGCGCTGTCATCATCGTTGGTGAGCTTAACTTTGAATTTATATAAACATTATTAAAATTTTGCGATGTTTGCGATGATGTTGATAATGAAAATTGTTGTAAATTATGATTGATTGGTTGGCCATTAATTGTTGGATTCAATAATTTCTTATCCATATTCAAACTTTGATTATTATTAATGTTAATTATATTATTATTATTATTATTTAAATTTATATTATTATTATTATTTGAATTTGTATTTAAATGATCGGAAAATTCTTTTGGTAGCGGAATATAATTAGATTCATTTTGTCGCATTGTATTTGCCATTTGGTATGAGCTAACCATTGAATTAATTGGATTAATAGGAGGAGTGGCAGCCGTTGAGATCAGTGGCGACGAATATGTTGGTGACATATATGAGACCATAGGCTGTACTGTTATAGGGGTTCCGCTATGACTTAATAATGGGCTATTTGTTGGCGGATTATACATGTGATGATAATGATTAACACCCGTTTGTGCGATAAGACCAGCGAAAGAACTCGGTATCATATCTTGGTTTAGTGTGGTCGCAGTGTTAGTGGCGTATTGATTTGAACTAATCGGTCGAGTGGGCGGCGATTCTGCTCTGGGAGGTGCTGGAAGTGGTGGTGTCTCTTTCATACGCATCTGTTTCAATACATACGATGGCGGCTTAATTGATCGCAACTGTGACGTAAGCAATTGACTTTTGGTCAATTTCTTGGTCCACGTAAGCACTGGTTCACCAGAAACGGCCAAATCATGTTTGTCGGCATTGTGTTCATCAATGAGTATTTGTGCGTCCGATAGCAGTGCATCGGATGAGATTATTAGATCGGGTACCGATCGTTTATGAGTCGGTAATTTTTGTAACCACATTATGATAGCCTTCATACCAGATAATTCGTATGGTGTTAAGTGTATATGTTTTGATTGAGTCGATGGCAATGTCTGTAATGATTGTGTTGGTTGTTGTTGTGGTGGTTTGTTCACTAAAAATAATAATAATAATGATATATTTTTTTAAAAATTTATCGATATTTTAAAATCCAATTCAGTCAATACCATTATTTTCATCTTTAACAACAATAGTGACTCCTTCTTCATCGCATTTCAGATGATTTTTCTTCATAAGACAGCTAACATATCGGGCCAACACATACCACAATACTTCGGTATAGAATGGATATCGAAATTTGGTGGGAACTTTAGTCAAATCTTCTACCTGTGCAACGCGTAACTGTTTTTCAATTGAAAACGAGTGCAAAAAATTGCCGCCAAACACAAGCGAATCTTCTGGCGTAAACACGGCGTGTATCCAACCGGTAGGTATGAAAAACGTATAGCCAGACTCTAGATGAACGCGTACGCACTGTTCGACCAGATCGCCGAAGAATACATCCGATTGTTTGCCCGATAGTACCCATTGTTCGAACAATTGAATGTTACGTTCAGTTGGCGGTATCAACCAAAACACTTTACGACCCTTCAGGATGTGATACCAGACCGATGTGCCGCCAAAGTCAATGTGAAAATCAGTGTAACAACCCTTCACTGACATCAGACAATATCTGTAAAAATTGGGTTCAATTGTTATGTTATTTCTAAATCAATTCTTTGTTATCTCAGATGACATACTTTTGTACTTTTGGATACTTCATCTCATCGATAATGTTTGTTCCTTCAGTTTGAGATTGCTTAAGATGTTTGGGCCAAACCTTAAAAAAATAACCAATCAGTCAGTCAATCATCTAATGTTAATAACTGATCTACAAAAAACTGAGAAAACCAACCAAATCAACCCAATCTACTTGTTTGACAATCGCCGGACTGTCCACATGTGTCTCAAGTTTTGTATGTGAAAACTCTAATGATATGACATTCAAGAGTCGATCCCTTTTCGGTGCACTGAAGTATTCGCACCACTCTTTCATTGTCATTGTCTCGTCCTGTTGTGTCTGGACGTCCATAACGTCGAGCATACGCCTGGAGCCGACACACTGTTTGACATCGTTGACATTGAACGTGTCGGTCGGCATTTTCATACCCAAACCTTTCATATGTTTGACAACAATCGGCTTTTCAAAACCGTTTCGCTGAATGAACGACACATTCAGTTCGTCGCCGGACATCTCACGTACGATATCGGTATCCAAGCAATCAAACTTAGCGCTGACCAACTTTTCGTCGACATCGAAAGCATAGCCGTCAAAGTCGACCACATCTTCGTCGTCACCGTTGGTTTCCGTATAGCTTTGGCGTTGTTTACGGCGCTATCGGTTAAACAACAAAACAATAAAATGCATTACAAAGATATCATCTAAATCGATGGCCACCCGATCGGTACTGACCAGTCGCGGACCCGACACAGACTTGGGGCGATCGTCACTCATTGTTGTTGGCGATAGTCAAACAAACCGTTGGTGTTTGAAGACACTGGCGATGATGACCACAACGGTATAGTCGGAGTCAATGAAATTCAATGGACAGACATTTTTTCAAACATTCAAAACAAAACTCAATGTTTTTGTTTACAAAAATTTATTACTCGTTTTTAATCACACAAACAATGCAAACGATTGGCTAAACTATAGATGGCGTTACCATAGAGTAGTAAACATACATATAATGTGTATACAAAAAATACGTTACGATTTTGAACACGTTTTTTAGAAACCCTTTTCCAATATATATATATATTTATGTCAAATATTTTATACTATTTTATACTATACAATGAATGACTCATTTTTGACATTGAAAATTTTATGTATGTTTTCTCCCCCATATATTTAAGTGTACTATCATTTATGAATAGCTACTAACTAGTGACTCACTTGACTGGTTGAACTACAAGCAGGCGTTAGTTATACTAAACATTAAATTATATTTAAATTTATTAATTATTATTAATTATTTTATAATTAAAATAATTAAATAATTTAGTATTTCTTATAGTATTTTAGATTTTTTAATAATTATTATCTTCAATTGGTTCCAATCTCCATACCAAACTGTATTGTAAACTATAATGAACTGATACTGTACTACTAGTATAACGTATAGTTTCAAAATGCATACAAAAAAATTTTTTTAGTGTTATTTTCTATATGTAAGCAATTATTATGCAAATGATTGGAACGTTTAGAGAGAGAGAGAGAGAGAGAGAGATAGACATTGCTATACATTATTATTATTATTACATACACTCTGTGTGTGTGTTGTGTTGGATAACAACGAGTCAATTGTCTGTTTTAAAACTAAAATAAATAATAATTTCAAAATGCATTCAAAACAACAAAACATATTACAGTAAATGTTATTTTGAATATTATATGTGATTTTTTAAAAAAAAAATTTATTTTAATTTTTATTTAACTGTTTATTATTGAATACTATTTATGTGTCACACACTTATTATTATTGGACAGTCAGTCAGTCAGTGAGTTAGTTAGTTAAGTCTCAGTCCATCAACAAAACAACAAAAACCATTTGAAAGTCATATTTAAGTTTATATTAATAGTGTTTTTAAAGCCATTCAACAAAAAAAACATGTATTTCCGTTGTGTTGTTGATATACATACAGTACTTATTTATAAATGTTGTAGTTATGGCACATCACTTGTTGTATAGTTATTATTATTATTATTATTTGTTAACTGTTTATATCATATATTAATAATATAATATGTGTTTGTGTTGTCATTAATTATTAATAATATTATTATTAAAAAACTATTGATTTATCCGTTTTAGTGATTTATATATGTATTGATTTGTGTTTGATATATACAGTATATGATATGTGTGTTTGTTTTTTTTGAAAATTGTCGCATAAAATACTAATAATATAATAATGTTGTTATTGATTGATATGATTTAATATTTGATTAAAAGCAAGTAATTGTCATATTTTTTTTGATGATTGATTTTATTTTTTAATTAAAACTATTACATATATGTATATGTTTTTAATCTGATATTACTTATAGATTATATGATATGATGTTTGTTTGTTTGTTTGGGTTAAAAATATAATTGACAAAAATAAATGACTAAAAATAAATCAATGATTTAAGCGATAATATTTTTTTGACAATCAATTTGAATGCCATTTTCAATAACAATAGCAAAGAGATGTTAATAATTTATAATTGATTTTTTTTTGTAAATTTTATAAAATATAAAATAAATAGTAATCATTGATTTGTAACGTTTAGTATTGTATATTCAAATAATAATTATAATAATAAGTTGCACACAGTTTGTAAAGTATATCCATATTATTATTATTAAAAAGTCATTGAAGTTTGATATGCCATGAAAAATGTGGTTTCAATTAATATGTTTTCAATTTTAAACCATTTGTTAATAACTTATTATTTTATTTCATTTTTTTAAGTAATGATAATTTGTTTTATTATTTTTTTTAAAAAAACTCTTTTTTTCATCATTTAGTTAAACAAATCGTTTTTTGTGTCTTGAAATATATGTCTGGATTTTTTTAATTAACAGACTCTATATGACATCACAATATCTTTATGAATATATATATAATTAAAATAAAATGATATGAGTTTTGAAATTTGAATTGAAATACCGAAAAATTTCTTATCAATTGCCAACTGATATGTAAAATATCTGTTGTCTTAAGCAATAAATTAATGACTCATTTGTTTATTTTTATAGCGATATAAACATAATATTTATCCAAAAAATAATATATATATAAATATCATATTGAATACATTGTTGCTGTGTGTGTTTGTGTGTGTATATTAAAAATTTTTGGTTGAACTAAATAAATATTAACGTTTACAATAATTTTATCGATAGACAAGTCAATGGTTTATTGTCGATAGTTTGTTGACAACAAACACACACACATATTGAATATTATTAGACTATATATATATATATATATATGAAAATTGTATATAACTTTATAAAGTATTCAAAAAATTATTTTTATTATTAGTATTATTATCATTAAATATATATTAAGCGCTTGTCTGGCACTGTCCTTAAAAAAAAGTGTATAACCCTTATGTTTAGCCAACCGTTGATTTTAAATGTCTGTTATTTTTAATTATATATCTTTATTATTATTATATATAAACGTCTCCTATGTTTAAGTGTTTTTGTCACTAACTAGTGGTGTGTGTATTATATATAGTGAACTACACCTTAAAAAAATACTTAAAATATTTTTGAATTATATTGAATGTAATTATTTATTATTAATATTCTAATATTTTATTAATAATTTTTTTTCTGCCAAAATTTTAATGAATTTTTATTTTATTGTTTTTTGATTTCTCACAAATTTATTTCTTCTTATTTTTAATTTCAGGCAATATTTGGGTTATACATCGATAACATATATTCATATATGAATTGAAAGATTAATTATTATTATTAAGTGGTGTTAAGTGTTTGGCTCCTTAAGTGTATGTGTTTGTGTTATATAAGAGTTTTTTGTTGTTTGTAATGGAAGTGTCGTCTTTAAGACATCAATTGATTGAGTTCTCGCCGGAGACGACCAAAATGAGTGGTAATAACAATCGAAATTCTTCACAAACAATGGACACACTGTTCGATAAGTCAGAAATGGATCAGTTGCTGATCGATGCCCGAAACGAGAAGCAAAAATTCGAGACAATTGTCCGACAGCTGCGCGAACAGCTAACGATGGCCGAGTCGGAGGTTAAAAAATTAAGACAACAGTTAGTACTAACCGAAAGTGACTCGAAAGAGGAGATCCAAAGACTAATAAAACAGATAAAAAGTTTTGAACTAAAGTGCAATGAATTTCGTGAAACAAATGAACAATTGATAATTAAGTTGAAAGTTGCCGAACACCAGAAACTGGAGACAGAGATTACCGCACAGAGAGTTGCCGTCGAAGAGCGCCGGCAACTAATGGCACAGTTGTCCGATAAAAACAAACTCATATCTGAGTTGCAGTCGAGTTTGGCCGTCAAAGAACAGGAAATCAAACGGTTGACGGCACTGATGGTCGCCGAACAAGAAGAGTGGAACCAATTTCAGTCAGACCTGTTGACCACTGTTCGTGTCGCCCAAGAGTTCAAAGAAGAGACACTACTTGAGTGTCAAAAACTGATGCAAACCAATAGAGATTTAGAGCACAAGTTAGCAGATCTTGAGGTAATTGTCTATTAATTTGTTTCTATTGTATTTTGAATTAAAATCCAATTATAATATTTATTGAGGCAATGATTATTCATTGATTTTGTTGTTTGATTGTAATTTAATTACATTTTTATTACATAATTTGTCGCTTATTATAATAATTATTAATTTCTATAATTTATTTGTTTCTATCATTTCCTGTTTTTTGCTTTATTTAATGATCGATATAATGAAATATTTGTTTGTTTTTATAAAAATTGCTGATTTAAAAAAAAGTTGTTTTTTAAATTTAACACTTTAATTGATATTATAATTACTGTACTGTTAATAATAACTGATAACATTATATATAGAATTAATTAGGAATTAAACAAAAATGTTATCAAATAATTATATATTTTCTGTAAATATTTACAAAGTATTATTTATTAATATATGATATATTTTTCCTGTATTTACATTAGTTTACATTTTTTATTTTATAATATATCAAATATCAATAATATTTTTTTTTAAAAATTAATTTGCAAATATGTTTGTCTATATTATAAATACCAGAATGAGTTGAAAAAGTACAAAACAATAGACACCTCAATAGATGTGATCCCAGCCGCCGAAGAGGCTATTGTCTCGCAGATATCACCCCAACAACAACAACAACAACAAAAAGGAGAAGAAGAAGAAGAGCAATCAGAGCCGCAATCAGAGCCACAACCAGAACAACACGAACAAAACCAGACGACACCGTCATCTGAAACCAGTCTTCCAACGCCCCCACCGATGGATGAATGTCCTATCAATACAATCACTGAATCTCTTTTGTCCCAAAATACCTCTACTATTCCTACTATTAACACTGTCGCGCCTCCCGTTGACACACAACCCCAGCCACAGCCACCAAAACATGTTAACCTATTTGCTATGAGATCTAAGTCGTTGCCATTGCCATCAGTGAGAAGCAGTAGTGTTGGAGGTGGTGGACAGGTATTATGTAAACAATCGCCAATTACCGGTAAACCAATTGACATTAATCAGCGGTCCGTACGCCGGCTGATCGAGTCTATCGAGACGACAAACAAACAAAAGATTAGTCCCACACGTTGTCTGTCCAACACAAGTATTAATAGTTTGATTAGTACAATGACGCCGACGACGACTACGACAATGATAACAACACATCCACTGAACGACGAATTAGTGATAAAACGAAATAAAAACAATTCATTGCGTCTGACATTACAGATCAACTACGAGACGAAAGACGAGAACAATAAAGTTTGTTCATTAAATTCAGACATAACTTCGCCGACAAATAACTTAATAAACAATAATATTAATAATAATAATAACAATAATAAAGTGAAACATATTGACAGCATATTGAAAGATAAAACTGATTCAAATAATACTGATAACAGGTATGTATTTATTATTAAATATTTTATATAAACAATTTTTTAATGGTTTCTATTATTATTATCATTGAATAGTGATATAAACGACGATAAAAAGTCAGACCCGTTGTCCAAACTGGTTCGCGGCGGCGGATCCAAGCGTAACGCCCTATTGAAATGGTGTCAGAATCGTACGGTTGGCTATAAGGACATTGATATAACCAATTTTAGTTCATCCTGGAACGATGGACTGGCCTTCTGTGCCATACTTCATACATACCTTAAAGACCAAATACCATACGATAGACTGGAACCGTCCGACAAAAAGCGTAACTTTTCCATTGCTTTCAAAGCTGCCGAATCAGTAGGCATTCCCACCACTTTGGTATGTATTTTATGTGTCTTATCTCGGCATTGAAGCTATGATTGCAATATATATATATATATATTTGTGATCTAATTGTTTTTTGTTTGTTTGTTAATTATCTGTTAATTTGTTTTTATTTTTTTTTTATAAATATTTACAGAACATTCACGAGTTAATAGCCCAGGAAAGGCCTGATTGGCATTCAATACTAGACTACGTGACCAATATTTATAAGCATTTTGAAACATGAGTTGATATTTTTTTGTACACTTATTTTTATTATATACATATATATTATTATTATTATTAATATTTTTCTCAACTATATATATATATAAAAAAAACTATTATATCTCAATTTTCTCTATTATTAATAATTTTATTCACTTTACTTATTATATATTTTTAAGTTGATATACACAAAAAACTGAGTATCTATTAATTTTATAGTTTTTCACGATTATTATTATTATTACCGTAGATACTATTAGATATTATTATTATTATTATTAAATGTATTGTGTATAATGTATTTGTATATTTAAAAAAAAAATATTTACCAAATTTTTTTAAGCATTGATTACCAAACTATTAATTACTATACTATCAAATATTTTTTATACAAAAGTACATAACTTTTTTTTCTCAAATGCTTAATATTATTATTATTTTTTTGTTTGAATAAGAAATCAATTTATTATACACAACTGATTGCATGCAATCAAATGTGATCCTAGTCAATTTATTTTATAAATGATATTATAAATATATATATGAAAAATATAATTAATTAATTTTTGAACACTTGTTTTATTCATTATATAAAACAAAACAACAAAAAACTGTGTGTCTGTTTATTGGTGCCTAAAAAACACCGTTTGCTTAATTAAAGATGAATTACGGTATAAATTATATAATATTAATTAGTAATCAATTTTGATTGTCGGAGAAAACACCATAGCGTTAGACCAAAGAGTTTATTATTATTATCACATTATTGTAATGTATTGTATAATCATATTTTTAATTATTATTATTATTGTATTGGTTTTTCTGAAATTGTTTTTGTGTTATTATTATTATTATTATAAATTATTGTAATTATATATATATATAAATATATATATATTTTTATTGAATCTCTTATTAATGGGAGAATTATCTGATTGATTGAACGATTTTAAAATGTATTTGTAAAAAAATAAATACTCTTTATTTATAAAAAAAAACAAAATGGTTAAATAAAAATGACAAATTTATATTAAAATAAAAATAATTGTACTAAATTATTTAACTAAAAAAAACTACTAATTTATTTATTTTTTTTTAAAAAATAGTTACCTAAATTTAAAACAAAAATATTACTCCACTTTAGTGATGGTAGCGGACTGTGTGTCCAAAACACAGATATCACCCGTTTTGAAGGCACGACACGCATTGTCAACAGCTATCAAACTGGGAATACCGTATTCCCGGGCAATAACCGCACCGTGAGATATGGTTCCACCGATTTCAGTGACAATACCGGACAACAATGGAAAGTATGGACTCCAACCGATATCCGTTGAGTATGTTATTAGTATATCTCCCGACTGTTATAATCGGGTTATTGAAAAAAAATCTTATAATTTATTTGATTCTTAAGAAGACATAAATTATTATATAATTACGTACTTGTATTTTGTCGGCATCTGACATGTCTTCAGCCACACAAACTCGTGCCCTAACTGTTCCCACACTAACAGGAGTTCCCGACATTTTTAGCAAATTGTTTCCCACTAGCGAACTGGTTGTGTCGACTGATGTCTTAAGCTAATGATTAATATATATAAAAAAGAAATTATTAAAATTAAAATTAATTATTTTCAGATATTTTATGCCAACATTTTTGGGCTCCATTTCTGGTCCTTTAATGATTTCGTCAAACTTGTATCTATTCATCTGCGGTACTAATCGTTTTCTGAGTCGTGCTTTTGTCAAAATCATGGGATCTCTGTTGCCATTGCAAAGTGTGTCGATCTCGTCGATGGTCAACAAGAAGAATGTCTCAGTCGACGGTATAAGACCGTCGCTGACCATTGTTTGCGCCATATATTGAAAGCCACGCCTCAGCTGATGGTTGAGCCAAACCATATAGTTTTTCGATATTTCCCGATAGCCGACACCCTTGCGAGCCCACGGAAGCAGAACTTTGCTAATGAGATATCGGCGCCACAATGACAGCGGAGTTTTCAATTCGTTCATCACTTGATCTATAGATTTGCTGACTTTTGGTTTCAATTGGGATTCATCTCCCAGAAGAAGTCCCTATTTTTTAGATATACTTTTTTTATTAATACAAATTTTTTTTATATATATTACTAATTACTATACTTTGATATTTTTGATACAGGGAATGGGATCGTCGACCCATGTTTTACACATGGGATCCATTTCCTTATAACCTCTATGTCCGTGAGTTTTGAGAAATTCTTTAAACTTAACAGAAGCCTTGTCTGTGCCTTCGCTAAGCATTTTCAGCGCCTCGTTGTCACTCAATTGAACAAACTGTTGCTTATTGTTAATAGTTTGGGCGATATCTCTCAAAATATTGGGCACTTCAGCGCTGACCACTTCGTCGCACGAGAAGATCATCAAATTGAAATCAGAGTCCAGGTTTGGATTATTTTCTGTCAATTGTTTTTTTTATGATTTACGTAATTAAAAAAATGATAATAATTTTAAAAATAAAAAACATTATCATCATTACTAACTTTGAGCCGTTTCCAGTATATATCTTAGGGCGCCATTCTTGATGGTAGAGCCCGGTGTGGCCCAACTGTGATTGAAAAACTGTTCGTCCAGCATATGAAACTGATCCATGAGTGCAGAAAACACTTGTTTGGCACCACCACCACCACTACGGCATCGGCGTAACGGTTCCACGTAATCGTATTTACCGTAATACTTGTCGATACTGTCAAACATTGTCTTTTTGCCGAACAAAAAGATGTTTGCATAGTCTCTGATGGTTTGCCAGAGTGTCGGTCTTGTCATGGCTTCTGCTTTCGATTTGAAAAGATTTAGCAGATCTTTATCGTCGATATGATGACCGAAAAAGGCTAACACCGAATACTCTGCTAATTTGCCGTCCGGATAGTCGTTGAACCGATCGAAAGCCGACTAAACAAACAAAAAAAATAATGTAAAATTGGTAATTGTTTTTTTTGTTGTAAAAACTAATTTTGAAAATAATTAATGAAAATTTAAAATCTATTTGCTATACATTTGTTAAATTAAAAAACAGTTGATTATAGCAAACGCCCATAAAGTCGACGTAAGGATTGTAGTCATCGATCGGTAGCGAAAAATCCTTTTAAAAAAATGACAATACATTTGTTTACTATTAGAAAGTTAATGACAATTAAAATTAATTAATTAATTAATAACATACAAAACTGGACCCTTTGTTGGCCCATAAATATGTAAAAACAAGTGGCGATGAATAGCCCGGATAATTTTCACCCCAATGTGCCCGCGAGTAGATCTCAAACTCGGTCGGATGTACGGTATCCAACTCATGCATTATCTCGTAATCGGTGTACGAATTGTCCAAATTAGTGACGGGTCGCGACTGAAGCATAAATATTTCGCCCCCTTTTAGACCCCACTCTATATCTCTGGCATTACCGTAATGTTTATGAATCTGTATAAGTATTTAGAAAATAGATTATAAATATCGGTATATTATATATATTACTAACAATTAGTGCTAAATCTCCCAAACGGTATAAAACATCATCAGAAACACAACAATTAGTATTATCGTTGATCTCTTCCTCGACAGTGCCTCCACTTTCTGAAAGTCTTATCGAAGATTTCTTCGCTCCGATGACTTTACTTTCAATGGATCTAATATTTCTTGGTTTTGATAACGAATTGCACTCAATATTTACGGACAGTTTGATTGTGTCCGGATCTGCTGACGCCGAAACCACTGACTATAAGTTTGATGATATTTGTTAATTACCGGTAATTTATTATTTAAAAAATAGCTAATAAAATGTATAAAAAATTAATCAATACTTCTCCCAAACCATAATTAGCTGTCACTTCAATAACTCTTTCGTCTCCAGTAATCGGATCACAAGTAAACATAACACCCGCCGACTCACACGCTATCATCTCTTGTATTACAACAGCCATCGGACTATCGATAGGCTGTCCGTAGCCTCTCTTATACTGTACGGCAACGAAATCAAACTGTGAGGCCCAACATTTCATCACCGCTTCGTATATGTTATCTAAACCTATAATTGCATAATAATAATAATAATATTTTTAGTAATTAGTAATATATTAATTAAAAAACCTTTAATTCCCAAAAATGTTGTCATTTGTCCGGCAGCTGACATCTCTTCTGAATCCTCTGAAGCACCGGAAGATCTGACGGCAAATAAGTTGTTTTCAATACTATTGAAGTTTGTCTTCAATTTGGCTTTGATTTCTTGTTTGATAATTTCTGGCAAACAATGACTGGTTATTGTTTTGACCATAAGATTGCATTTATTCTCAAACTCCTTAGTTGTCAATTGAGTCGATTTTTCTAACTCTAGTATTTGTCGACACAGATCTTCATTATCGTCGAGTAGTTTTTGATAAGCATTAGTGGTCACAACCACACCATTTGGTACAACAAATTTGTGATCACTATTATTATCTTCGGCTATTGTTTTGGCTAAACTCGTGAGTACTGCCAAAGAGCTTCCTTTACCACCACTTAAATCAACTCTTTTAGCCTTTTCTTCATTTAAACCCAAAACAAATGCCAATTCATTATCTTCTTTGACTACTTTTACAAGACTTTCAAATTCAATATCATTTTCTTCTGATATAATGCACATACCTTTTGAAATAATTTTTTAAATATTTGAAATAATTTTATAAAAATTAAAGTTATATAAAGTTTATAATAAAGTATATAAAGTTTACCATCGGATCCATTGATTACTAACTGTTTTGCTAAACCATTGTTAGGTTTTACTTCAAAATTGTATAATTTATTATTGAATGTTGCCGTAAATTTCAGTTTTGATTCACTGATTAATTTATGAAAATCTGATTTTAATAGTGAAATATCGTTTAATTTTTTAAAACCTCCAAATTGTTCAAATAAAAACCCAAAACGATAGGTAATCTGATTATTAATTGTAATTAATCCTAATTGAAAACCAATGCCTATTAATTGTAAAAAATATTTTAAAAACATTTAATTATTAAAGCAATTTATAAATTGAAATAAAATAAAACCTGTTTTTGTGTATCCATTGACTCTTATGATATGTCTATTGAATGATTCGTCTTTTGTTTTAGACATCAAATACTTTTTACTAATAGTTCCCCAAAAGTATAGATTATTACTTTCCAATTGCTTCTCCTCTCTGAACGTACCCTTAATTTGGCCGAACTGTTCAAATCGGTCTTCAAATTGATTCACAGATTTTGGCAATTTTGATGACAATAATGTCAGCTCTTTTGCCATAAAATAATCATCAAAATCACTGGTAAAGTCATAGACTCGACTGCAGGCGTACCACAAGAATCTGAACTGAATGTAAACCAATTCTTTGTTATTCTTCAGGAGATATCCTCTGAATTTTATTCGTTTCCTTTTGAACGGCACCTGTATTTCCAATCCGAGTCCCGACACTCTATACTCTCCTTTCCTATACTCGACTTCTTGTGTTTCATCCAAAGTATAAACATTAATGTTGTCTTCAATTCTTAAATTAATAGTTGCATTGATTTTATGATTTATTTTCCCATTTGGTCTCCATTTGATTGATATATAAATCGATTGTTTCGATGAATTTACGCCATATATTAATATATCCTCACATTTATTCTGTTATAATATATTATAATATATATATTATTTATTTTTTTTTAAAAAATATCATCAAATAATATGAAATTAACTTGCACAATTTTGAAAATATCAATATAAACTTAAATAATTGAAAAAATTACTATTTTGAAAACTATTTTTTTTGTTATATATAAAATAATATTTAAATCAAAAAAGTTTTTATTAAACTAATCGTATGATGATATTAATAATTTTAGATATTTTTTTTTGTTAAACAAAATTATTTAGAAAAAATATATAAATTAGTGATGCATACCTGTGCTGGTAAGTCATACTGCCATTCATGAGAAAACGGTAGAATACCGGCATCCCATGGATTCGGATTGAGAGGATTGTGCACATGAATCCTATGACCGGATCGTTGCCGTCGGCCTAACCGCAGGCCAATAAGTGCTCGTAAATATCTAATCCATTGACCATTGATTTGTTGATGAAGTTTCAAAATACTGTTCAAATAGGCTAGTATTGGTAACGATATGAGAGCACCCATAGATTATTAATTATTATTAAATAAATAAATTAATTTATGGCTTATACTGTACACTGTATATATATATATATTTAAAAATAATAATTAAAATTACAATTGGCAGTCATTTATATATATATAATAGACAAACTCAAAGATAGTTATATATTGATAACTTAACTATTTTTTAAAAAAAATATTAGATGAGCTCAAACCATACAACATGTGTATCTGTTTTATCAACAAATAAAAAAACTGGTATTTCTTGATATTTCATTATCTGGTTTTTTATTAAAAAAAAAAAAATAAGAAAAACAATCACTTAGTTGTTAGGCATAAATCAATCAAAATAAATTTAAATGTTAATTAAAGAATTTTTCAAAAAAATTTTTATCTGATTAAAATATAACAATTTTAAATCATAATTGAAATTATTTGTTTTAGTTGACAAAATATATATTACATATAAAAACTGATTTTAATTCAATAAAATTTTATTTGTTTCAAGGATATCAATTTATACAAATAAAATTCAATTGAATTTTTTAATTTTAATTAATAATTATTGATAAAAAAAATATTTACTGTACATTATATTAAATAAAGTATATTGTAGTACAACATTTATTTACAAGCACATGTGTGTGTGTGTCATAATAATTAAACTTAAATTGCACTAGATCATTCTATATAATAAATAACTGCTAAAAATACTAATTAATATTTAACTAATACCAAGATAATAAACTTATTAGCTTGATATTATTATTTTTATTAATACTTAAAATTTATAATCATGATTATCCTTTATTGCATTTCACTTTTTATACTTATATAATTAAGTACAGTATATTAAATGTCAAAAAAAATTATACAGTATTAGAATCTAATAATTAAGATAAACTATATTATAAATTTTAAGTATTAAAAAATAAATAATATCAAGCTAATAAGTTTATTATGTTCAAAAAAAAATTATGATTTAATAAATAATCTGAAATAATTATCTGACTATTTTTTTAAGTACAATAGTTTAAAAGTGGTACTGATTTATGGATGTAATCTAAAAAATAAATCATATGTTTATTAAAATAGCACAAAATCAATTCAAGTTTTTACAAAATAAAATATATATATACACTATTTTTTTGAACATAATTTAGCAAAACATTCATATAATTATAAAATATAGTTAAATATAAATCAATACGTGACAATTGTAAAATTTTAAATAATTGTTTATATAAATTGCTATAATCTAAACAAATAGTAAACAATTTATTTAATAATAAAGTGCAAATGGTACAAATTATATATATTTCTTTTTAGTTTATAACAAAATAAAATATTAAATAAACATTTTTTGTAACAAATTTGTTATCAATATCTATATGATTATTTGATTTATAAATAAATGATAAATTGTATTAGATAACTTAACATAAATAAATATTATGCAATCTGACTAATTAAGTAACTAATTTGTTTATTTAGTAATAAATAGATTTAAAAATTAATTATGTTACAAAATAGTTTATTTAGTGTACAACTTATTATAATTAACTTAAAATAATAAATTATTCATAATATATTTATTAAATACAAAAATAATATAACAAAATGAGAAAAATTTTTAATTAATAAAATATATAATACCATATTAAACTTGTTTAAATATTTTTATAAAAATTATAAAAATTAATTTCTACAAAATTGATTTACTCTACTTTAGTAATTGTCCCTGATGAAGTATCCAAAATACAAATATCACCTGTTTTGAAGACACGACACGCGCCATCAATGGCTATCAAACAGGGAATACCGTATTCACGTGCGATGACCGCCCCATGAGATATGGTTCCACCGATTTCAGTGATTAGACCCGAAAGTAATGGAAAGTATGGACTCCAACCGATATCAGTTGAATATGTTATCAATATATCTCCCGGCTATTGATTGAAAAAGTATTTAATTAAAAAAATGTAAATTTATTTAACAATTAAATAATTACTTGAATATTATCGGCGTCTGTGATGTCTTCAGATACACAAACTCTTGCCTTAACTGTTCCGTTGCTAACAGGAGTGCCTTTCATTTGAACCATACCTGAGCTAAGTGTTGGTAGAATTATACGGTCTTCAAACTGTAAGATTAGTAAATATTATAATTGAATTTCATATAAAAATTATTAATTATTAGTTAATGATTACATTTTTTGGTTTCATTTCGGGTCCTTTACTGAACTCTTCAAACTTGTATTTATCCATTTTTGGATACAATCTCTTCCGGTGTCTCATTTTCTGAAGAATTAATGGATCTCTTTCTCCATTACAAAGAGCCAACACTTCATCAATAGTTAAGTAATAGAATGAATCGGCTGATGGTATGAGTCCTTCGCTAACCATTTGTTTTGACAAATATCTGGATCCTTGTCTCCAATGGTTATTCAACCAAATCATAAAATATTTAGACTGTTCCCGATATCCGACTCCACGTCTACTCCATGGAAGAAAAAAATTTCGGATCAAATACTTTTTCAATGAACTCAATGGTGTTTTCAATTTGTCGACCACTTCATCAACAGATTTGCCAATTTTTGGCTCCAGTTGTGACTCTTTGCCGGTAAGTAATGTCTAAATGATAATTAATTTTAAATTTAGTATAATATTTATACTAATTATAGTTTGTTATTTGATATAACAATAATGTTTACTCTAATAGTTTTGATACACGGAATAGGATTTTCTTTCCACGTTTCATACATTGGATCCAATTCACGATAACCTCTGTGTCCATGAATTTCAAGAAACTTCTCAAACTTTTTTGATGCCTCGTCATTACCATTGCGCAACACTTGAAGTGCTTCTTCGTCAGTCAATTGTCTGAATTGTTGTTTATTTTTGATGGCTTTTGCTATTTCTCGTAAACTATTTGGCACTTCAGCACTGATCACATTATCACACGAAGAGATCATTAAATTGAAATCCGAATCGAGATATGGATTGTCATCTAATAAATAAAAAAATATATCATTAAATGATATTAAATTAAAAAAAATATTTTATTATAATTTAATTTCAATGATTTCATTACTTTTGCCAGTTTTCAGTAGTCCTTTGAGTATTGAATTTTTGATGGATGAGCCCATTGAGACACTTCCGTGATTCTTCAGAAGCAATCGAGAGATATCAAAATAGTTGTCCAAAATTGACTGTAATATGTCTTTCGATGACTTATTATGTTTGATAAGTCCAACTAAATCATACTTTCGTTTCTCCATATAATCAGTTTTGTCTCTAATTAGATTTGTTGGTCCAAAAAATAGGCCGTAAAATAGTTTACAAAATTTTATACATTTCGGCCAAAGTTTGGGCTTCGGTCGGGTTAAACGTTTTTGTCGAAAACAATTGAGTACATCCTTATCATCGATATGATGGCCAAACATCGATACAACCATATTTTTGGACTGTTCGCTATCGGGATAATCGGCAAACATATCAAATTGACTCTAAAATTATTAATTAAAATATAAATATTTTATTAAATATAATACATATGTGATAAAACACAATATAATTTCTTTTTACATATAAATATTAATATTAATAATAATACATACAGTTGTTAAATTGAACATCAATTGATTATATTCAATACCCATCATTTCAACGTATGGATTAAAATCAATCGGATTAAGTGTCGGATCAAATCTCTGTAAATAAGTTAATAATAAAAATTTTTAATAATTTTAATCATCTCTCTCTCTCTCTCTCTCTCTCTCTCTCTCTCTCTCTCTTACAAATATTTGACTTTTGTTAGACCAAAACCAAGTGAGTACTATCCATGAGGACGAACCGGGAAAGTTTTCGCCCCAATGGGCCCGGGAGTAGATCTCAAGCTCAGTCGGATGAACCGAATCCAATTCATGCATAATCTCGTAATCGGTGTACGAATTGTCCAAATTAGTGACGGGTCGCGACTGAAGCATAAATATTTCGCCAGCTTTTAGACCCCACTCTATATCTCTGGCATTACCGTAATGTTTATGAATCTATGAATGTTTAATACAATAATATAACAATAATTGTATTTATAAAATGAGGAAAAAATCATACAATAAGTGCCAATTCTCCCAATCGATATAAATCTTTGTCATAAACACAACAATTGCTGCTATTGTTAACATTTTCTTCAATAGTGCCTCCATTTTCAGCCAGTTTTATAAGTGTTTTCTTGGCTCCGATGACTTTATTTTCAATACCTTTAATATATCTGGGTTTTAATAATGAGTTGGACTCAATATTTACAGAGAGTTTGATTGTGTCCGGCTCTGCTGATGCCGACACCACTGACTAGAAGTTTGATGATATTTGTTAATTAATTTATTATTTAAAAAATAGCTATTAAAATGTATGAAAAAATTATTCAATACTTCTCCCAAACCATAATTAGCTGTCACTTCAATAACTCTTTCGTCTCCAGTAATCGGATCACAAGTAAACATAACACCCGCCGACTCACACCCTATCATCTCTTGTATCACAACAGCCATCGGACTATTGATAGGCTGTCCGTAACCTCTCTTATACTCAACAGCTATGTGTGAGAACTGAGACGACCAGCACTTCATTACAGACGAGTATATATTGTCGAGTCCTTTGACGCCTAAATAAGTAGTCATTTGTCCGGCGGCTGACATCTCTTCAGAATCTTCAGAAGCACCGGAAGATCTGACGGCAAACAACTTGTTTTCAAAATCATTGAAATTATTTTTTAACTTTTCTTCAATTGCTTTCTGTATAGTTTGTGGTAATCTATAGTTTGATATTAAGTCCATTACTTCATTGCATTTGGGTTTCAGCTCTTTTTGTGAAAGTTGTGTCGATTTTTCCAAATTTTCAATTGCTTTTAATAAGTCTTTATTTTCTGTTAAAAGTCTTTCGTAAGCATTAGTAGTGACAACAACACCATTGGCGACACTGAACTGATGTTTGTTGTTATTTGTCACCAATAGTTTACTTAAATTCATAAGTACTGCCAAAGAGCTACCTTTACCTCCCGTTAGATCTACTCTTTGAGCTGACTCTTCATTCAAACCTAATACAAGTGAAGAGTCTTTTTGTATATTATTTATTGATTGTATCTGTTGTTGAACTTCTGTATCAATTTCTTCAGTTAAAAAACACATGCCTTCGGAATCATTAATTAATAGTCGTTTTGCAAAATTATTGTCACATTTTTCAATAACAAAATTATAATCTTTATCATCAAAAGTTGCGATAAAATTTATAATATTTTTATTGTTTAAATTAGTAAAATCTGAAGATAAAAGTGATATATTTTTTAAGGCCCAAAATCTTCCCGTTTTTCTGAACAAAAATCCGAATCGATATTCACTTCCATTTTCATTACAAACATAACCCAAATTAAAGCCAAACCCTATTTTATAATTTAATTATAAATTAGATTTAAAAATTACAAATATTTTTGAAATATAATACCATCTTTAGTGTAACCAAATATCCGATTAATTGTTCGCTTATTTTGATTTGTTTTCAAAAACTTTTTACTAATAGATCCCCAAAAGTATAGATTTCTTTCCGATGTCTTCTCCTCTCTAAACGTACCCTTTATTTGTCCGAATTGTTCGAATCGGTCTTCAAATCGGTCTTTTAGTTGACTTTCTGTTTTATCGGATTTTGCAGATAATGCCAACTCTTGCGCCAGAAAGTAGTCATCGAAATCATGGGTGTAATCATATACTCTGGATATAGCTTTCCATAAGAATCTGAACTGAATATAAACCACTTCTTTGTTATTCTTCAACAGATATCCCCTAAACTTAATCCGTTTTCTTCTAAATGCCGACAATATCTCTAACCCGAGTCCCGACACTCTATACTCTCCTTTCCTATACTCGACTTCTTGTGTTTCCTCCAAAGTATAGCAATCATTGTTGTCATCGATTCTCATATTAATCGTTGCATTGTTTTTATTGTTAACTCCATTGGGTCTCCAATTGATTGATATATAAATAGATTGTTTCAATGAATTTACGCCATATATTAACAAATCTTCACTTTTATCCTAAAATTAATGTTATTTTTATATAAAAGTATTTTTTTTAACTATTTTTATGATAAATATCATATAATACAGTATTTAATAATTAAAATAATTTATTTAAATTAACTTTTTAATTTTATTAATTTATGTCATACCTGTGATGGTCTATCATATGTCCACTCGTGAGTAAATGGTAAGAGTCCTGAATGATGTACTTCTTCTTTCATAACGTCATGAATTGTAATACGATTGGTCTTTACATGTCTTCTTCGTGACAATAATTGCCACAATTCTGACAAATATCTAATCCATTGGTCATTGATTTCACGGCTTTTTTTCGTCAGCTTATTGACAATCAAAGTAATGACCGGAATTGATAACAACAGTCCCATTGTTTTACTTTGATAGTTGTCTACAGCGGTAGACATATAATATAATTTTTTTATAAAAAAAATTTATTATACATAAAATTCAAAACTTTTTTTTAATTTTTTTAAATTTAAGACCGACTTTATTAAGTAATTCAATATTTGTCATCTCTTTATATATGCAATGTATATATTAGTTGTTTATGAACTTTTGTGATGTAATTATGTTATTAAATCATTTTTATTTTGTGTTATAATGTTATTATATACATTTCAAACCAAAGTTTACATAATATATAATAATAATACTGTAAACTTATATTAGTTATAACTTTTAAGTTATATTACTGATAAATTTATATTATCAGTGTTATAATATTTACTATAGCTTAATATACAGTGGATATGGTATATAAATTTATCATTTAAATTAGTTTGTCCTTCAAATATAGTAAGGCGTGGTTCACATATTACGTTCGCACTTGAGGGGAGGGGGGGTTGGCCAAAGCGAACTTTTGCGAACAAGGGGGAGGGGTATAGTCTTTAAGAACGTTCTCATTTAGATAATATTTTATTTCTTGTGGTGGGGGGGGTAGCGGTTAGGGACATGCGAACGTAAATTATTTAAATGACTACATGCGAACAATTACGAACATAGGGGAGGGAGGGGGTCTAGATTTCTTAAAAAGTGCGAACGTAATATGTGAACGACGCCTAATGTCTATAAAACACTACCTTTACAATGATCTGGGGTTGAAATTAGATTACACACAATTTGTACTTAAATATATATATATATATTATTTCTTAAATTAACAATTTTATGTCATAAAAGTAAACAATTATTATTGTTAATTATTACTGGTATTACTATTAAATCATATCTAATTAAATATATTTATGAACAACAAACAGTATACTGTATAAGTATAGTATAAATTAATTGTGATTTTTTTAGTATAATTATAATAATACTGTAGTATAATAAGTTACAAATTAATGTTAACATTTTTAAGGCATTAACTACAGTATTAATAATATGTAGTCATTCATAAATTATCAAATATTATACTAAATTTATATTTGTATTTTAGTTACTATTAAATAAAAGTATAGAATTTTACTAATGTGTTATAAAAATATAAATATTTATATAAATATATACAACGCCTTATGATTTTTTTACTATAAATAATTAATAAATAATTATCAATTAGTCAATAAATAAAATAATTTAGATATTTTATATTAAAATTTATTATTAATAAATAAGTTTAACATTTTGGGGGCGATTCACATAATTTCTTTATTCCTTACAATAAGTCTATACCCCATAACTCCCCCTCACTTAGAAAAGTTTGTTTGGCCAAACCCCATCCCCGCTCCCACTCCCCTCAATTTCAAACGCAATATGTGAACTAACCCTAATTTATAATAATTAATATTATTATTATAATAAACTTAAATATATTAAATATTAATATTTATCGGTAAATACAGTTATTTCTATTTATTTAATTTATTTAATTAAATAAAATCATTTACAACAACAAACTTTGATAGTTGTAATCAAATAGGAAATCAAAATTTTTTTTAAGGATTAAACTTATTATTATTATTATAGATTAGATTAACAGTTTGTATATGTGTTTAATATTAGGAGATTAAAATAAAATCTAGTATTTAAATGAAACACTAATAAAATTGTTTTAATAAAATAATAAATCAATTGATAGAAAAAAATTCACTAAACATTGAAATTATAACTTTCATTGCATTATATCCATAGATATTATACTCTAATTGTTATAATTATTGATTTAATTTTTTAATTATATATAGAGTTAACTGATATTAATAAATATATATATATATATATATATTGTTTAAAAAACTTATAAACTAATTAAACGGTATATTACTGTAGAACTAAATAATATGTCTAATAATTATTTTACAGTAATAATAATAATTTCAATGAACTTTACGATCAATAATATTAAATCTTCACCAAAAATGGGTTTGTTATATGATATAAATATATATATTTATATATTAAATAATAATAATAATAATTGACTTTTAATATATATATTAATTATTATTTTTCAGATATAAATTTTGCATTAAATACCATACAAATTGATGACAAAATGTTAAAATTGAAATCAATTACTATTACTAATAATAATAATAATAATTCAAAAATGTAAATATATATAGTATACATACTGTTTTAAAAAAAATCACATTTATTATTACATTATAGTGTATATAAAATAAAACAATTTTTTGCTATCATATACTATTTAAAAAAATGATTTCTAAAAACTTTTGTTTAATATTTTCAATTTTTGTATCACTTTTAAGTGTCAAAAATGTTAACCAATCTGAACTAACCAATGAATTAACAAAATCAATGTCATCGGAGGTACGGATTCCGACCGATAAATCGGTTGCCATCAGCACTACCGCAGCCGCCGCCGACGCGTCCACTACTACTATGACTGTTGGCACCGGTACTACCATTCCTATCGCTACTACCACCACCACCACCACTATTGTTCCTACCATTGAATCTATTGTTACCAATGATATGGTTATACGCCAAATAAAA